ATATAATATAATCAACTATGAAAGATTGTTATTTATTTAAAAAAACGTTTTCCAAAATTTGAAAAAAGAAGGGTTAAAAAATAAATAAATATTCAGATTCAAACTTTTTATATATATTGATGACTAGCTAACGCTATTCCGTTTGAAACGGGGTCATAAATAAATAATATTCTTATTTTACATTTTGTACATGTTTTTAGGCTTGGGCGCATCGTTTAAAGTAAAAAATGTCTTACATTGACATTGTAAAATTTGCAATAGTCACCATTTTGCAATTACAAAAAAATTGAAAAAAATAAAAAATACACAAAATCTCGAAATATCCTTTTAGTAACAACTATTTAGGTGGTATTTTAGTGCTTTTAAATGAAAAATTAAAACAGAATTTCACAATTTTTAAAAAAGAAGGGTTAAAAAATAAATAAATATTCCGATTTAAACTTTTTATATATATTGATTGATGAGTGATGACTAGCTAACGCTAGCCCGTTTAAAACAGGATTTTATATAAATAATATTCTTATTTTTCATTGTGTAACATGTCTTTAGACTTGTGCGCATTGTTTAAAGTACAAAATGTCTTACATTGTAAAGTAAAATTTGCCATTACAAAAAAATTAAAAATCTTATGAAAAATACACAAAACCCCATAATATCCTTTTAGTAACAATTATATACAAATCTTAAGGTTGTATTTGCATGCTTTTAAATAGAAAATACAAAGAATTTTACAAATTTTTTAAAAAGAAGGGTTAAAAAAAAAATAAATATTTAGATTCAAACTTTTTATATATATTGATAAAATTTTATGAAAGAAGAAGTATGAATATTCATAAAAGCAAGAACACTAATGTAGGGTCTACAAAGATAGTAAAACTAATTAAATAAAAAGGATTTTTTTTATTAGTTCCATATCGAAACAATATTTTTGTTTTGGCCACCTCACTAAAGGTTACACCAGGATGGTTGTCTTCAATACAAAAAGAGTAGCAGGGTTAAATATGATGTACTTGGATTCTTGGTAGATAATAGTTATGTTGTTTCATACAACAAGTATTTTTTAAAGAGGTAAATTGTCATATAAATGCCGGGGTTTGTACTTCCATTAAATCAGTAAAGTATATATTATAATATATTTATAAAAGTTACAATTGTGCAGAAATATAATTTACAGACAAAAATGAAGTATATAAAATTATAATTTAGGATGGGTTGCTACGCTAGAAATTTACTGGTGATTTTTTAAATATAAAATGTATGAAAAATCATAAAAAATTTATAGGCTTTCAGTACATCTACCACAAGAATAGATGATTATTTTTTAGCAAAAGAAAAGATAGATATTTTAAAAAATTTGGATTTGAGAAAATTATCCTTTAAAGTTTTTTAAATTAGTTGAAATTAATTTTAAAGCAATTTTTTTTTTAGAAATATCACTTTGCTATATAAATAAAGAAGGTCAGTGGTTATAGCGAAATAATAATTATTCTAAGATAATCATTAAACTATAACAGTTTTATCGCTAAAAAGGAAAATTAAGTTTGTAAGTGTTATAATTAAATGTTAAAGAAGCTGCATCTTTTTAAGATTTAAAAGAGTTAATTATTCTTCTTGTTCTAATACTGTCTAAGCAAGAGGTTTGCTTTCTAATGACAGCGAGTGGAATAGAGTCGTTGAAGCAGAAAGTACGGTTAAGGTAAAAACACCTTCGGATACATCTGTGCTTTTAATAGCCGAATTAAAGTCAGCAAATTTTTCTTTTATTATTATAATAATATGGCAAATGACTTTTTAGAAATAATAAATGCCATGGATAGAATATTTGTATAATAAAAAACTAAGTTAATTTTCATGAGATAACAATGATTTTTTTTGGTCTTTCAGGATCTATGACATAATGTTAATAGTATAAATGGGAAGCATAAAATGTTGTAATGTTGATAAATTAGTTCATTTTTGAATTTTAACCAAAAGATAGTTTTTGATATTATTATCATAATATAAATAAAGATGGCAATTTATTATTTTTATATGGTCCTGCTAAATCTGGAAAGATCTATTTGTACAATATATTACAAGAATACATAAATAAAAAAACAAATGTTTATTTAGATGGTAACAACTGGAATTGGTGCTGATCCGCTAAGAAATGGAAGAACGATACATTGTACAATGAAATTACTGTTTCATTGACTGAGACAAGTATTTCCAGGCAAAAGAAATGTGAAAGCATCTTTATTATTAATTGATGAAGCATCCATGTTATCGTAACAAGATTTAAATGCAGTTAAATAAATACAGAAAATTATGCAATAGTACAAAAATCTTTGGAGGAAAGACTTACTTTTGGGTGAAAATTTTAAACAGACAGCAAGTATTGCTCTTAAGGTTCTCCAGTTGATATAATATAAAATTCAATAATTAATTTCGAGCTATGAAAAAATATCAAAGTTTTAGATCTTTCAGATAATATGAGATCCAAAAATCATCCAGGTTTTACTAATTAGCTTCTAAGAATAAGTACTGAAGACAGAATTAATAAAAGCAATGAAATTGAGATTACTGAGAGGTAAATTGAAATAGAACATTTTTATGAAATAATTTATGGTAAAGGAGAGATAAGCAAAACCGTGATGTATAATATAATCTGAAAAAAGTTGTGATGTGTTTAATATAAATCTGATGAACTGACGTTTCTTTAATAAGAATTAATCAATAAACAAATAAATAAAAAAAGGGTAACGAAAAAGATTATATAACCCAATTTTAATGAATTGGTTTAACAACCACCAATGAAGTAATCAATAATACTAATACAAGGATACTTAATAATATTAAAAGAACATTTTAAACCTGAAAATTGCAGATTGAATAGAGTTTAAAGATGTTTATGAGCATATAACTTTTTCTCGAATTTATTAATACACACACCCTTCTGGTATGCCTTCTCATAAGTTTGTATTGAAGGTAGATAGAATAGTAATGTTACTTAGGAACATTAATTCAAAAATGGGGCGTTTTAATGAAGCTAGGCTGTAAATTAAAGCTCTAAAAGAAGATTGAATAATTTAAAAAATTGTTAAAGGAAGTGTAAAGAAGTTGGTAAATCAAAGAACTAGTATGATATCAAAATTGACTTTATTGGCATTTATATTAAGAAGAAAGCGGCTTTTTGTTAAATTGTCGTTTGCTATGACAATAAATTAAAGGTCAGGGACATTTTTTTCATAAAGCTAAAAAAAAAAATTCCTGATTGGATTTTCTATTATGATCAACTATATGTGGCTTTTTTTGAATAGATAAAAGTGACAACCTGTGAATTAAACTGGATGCAATTATTTAAAAGAACACAAGAAATACTATTTTTTATGCATTTTTAAAAGCGTAAAAAATGTTTTTTAGATAAAGAAATTTACTATGAACATAATCAACCTTTTAAAAATTATTAATAAAGAATATAATTACGTGATATCTTGTTCATGAAACAAAACACGTGAATTAGTACTTATCAATTTTTTTAATTTGTAAATTAAATGTTATTAGCAAAATTCTTTTTCTATTTAAAAAAATTTAACGTTTCTACCTTATCATTTTATTTGTTTCCCTTGTTATAATACCATAAACTGAATTTGGTTTGTTTAGATCAATAGCATCCATAAATTTTTTATATTCTTTAAATACAGTACAAAATATTTTTAATATATCTAAGGGTGCTTGATTAAAACCCAAAAATGCCAAACCAAACATTTTCATTGTATGCAGATTGGAATTACAAATTAATGATCTAGGATGATAATTTTCCGCATAAGCTTTGCAAATAATAAATGTATAAAACAATTCGTTCATGTTACTAACGGTTATAAACTCACATTTTGCTAAAACATTAAAAAATATTTTGACCCTTTTTGCTTCCACGCGGGATAATTTTTTTTCAAAAACTAATGATTTATAGTTTAAATATGTATTGTTAGCATGATTATTAATTTCTATAGGTAACCTTGATGTATTATATTTTAACCAAAAAACTAATGCTTTATAATAGAAACTAGATTTATCGCTAGTAATCATATCAATAATATCTTTTATAGTATCCTTAGAAAGTGCATTATACAAAATCATAATTGCGCATGCTTTTGCCGAGGTAATAAAAAAAAATTTGTCAATAAAGTTTTCAGGCTTGGTACAAATATCTTTTGATTTTTGATTTAATTTCATTTCACTGTTCCACCTAGCAGATATTATTGTCCGACCACAGTTTAAGCACTTAATTAAAGTATGATTTTTATGTTTATTTAGTTCACAAAATCTTTTTGATTGATCAATTAATTCAATATCATTGACTTTATTAAAACATCCAAATTTAATAAAATCAAAATTATCAAAATACTTATTAAACTCTTCTTATTCGATTTTATATTTAATCACTCGCAATATATTACTTTTAAAATGGCTTACGAGATTTAGATCTTTTCCTGATATTTTTATTGTAAAAAATTTATCTTTTTTAACACTTGGAATTTGAAATACTGGCTGATAATTTTCATTTAATGCCAAAAAATTCCAATAGCATCTCGAAAAATACAATAAATCTGTAATTATATTATAAATTGGATAATTACTTTTAATATCGTTTAATATTTTTTGATGTTGATTTTGTACTTTTTTATTATGTAAATTGGGCGCTTCGAAATGTAAGACAAGAATTCTTCTTCCTTTAAATTCTTCTGAGTCAAAATTTTTTATTATCTCGGTTTCTAAATTTTTTAACATATTATACACTTATTCCAATGATATATCTTGCTCACTATCAATGCTCTTGCCACTATTTTCTAACTTAAATGTTTCGCATTCAAAATTCTTATTATCATTGAAAGAAATCATATAGACAAAGCAATGATTTTTTTTTTAAAATAAGTACTTATTGGATTAAAATGTTTTTTATAAAGTCTTTTTCTTAATAAATCTTCTAAATCTTCACAAAATAAAAGACTAACTAACAATAGTATAAATTTCATGGGTATAATTTTTATAATCAATTTATACTTTTTAATAAAAAGTGTTATTTGCCATTTTTGGTAAAAATTAATATTTTTTTTGTATATAAGTATTAGAACACAAAATAAAGTTTTTAAATGTATTTAATTGTATAAGTCTTAAAAAAAACTTTAAAAATTAAAACCATTTAAAAAAATAAATATTGTTAAATTTAATCGAAATTTATGTAAATAAAAAAATACAAAGAACTACTAAAATCAAATATATTTATAATCGATAAAGTAAAAGAAAATTTTCATCATCAAAATAGGAATAACCTCCTTCAGAAATCTGAGAACCGTTGAAGTTGAGAAGAAACATAAGTACGATTTGCCGGCTAAAAAATGTAAATCTATGGACGAATATAAGACATGAATTTTATTTCCCTTGATTACCTGGGAAGTTGTAATAGCAAAGTATCATGAAATCTATAGAAAAGATATCCGTCTATACCGCTAAATTGAAGCATATGTGCAGCCCCCAAGTGTTAAAAATGACTCTTAAGAACCTGGTGCTTTAATCAGACGTTGCATTTAGATCCTTGAGAAAAAATTCTAGAATACAGTCAAGGAACCACAGGAAAGGGAGTCCTAGCCAAGAGAAGGTCAGTTGCCTTTTTGTGTAAAATACAAGAGTATGAAAATGTTATATTTAAATAAAAAATTTAATTATTTAAATTTACATCTGTCACTAAAATTTTCTTCTTTATTTTATTTATTAAAAAATATTAATAATGTTTATATTGTTTATTTCTTTATTTTCAACCATAAAATTATTAAGGTTAAAAATTATAATTATTTAAACATAGCCGATATCGATTGTAAGTGAATTATGTACGACAATCACATTCACAAATCTAATATAACAACCGTATATAAGTAAATAAGGTATTTGAAAAAAGTGTTTTTATTTGTAGCTTTTGAAATATTTAACAATTTGACAGTACTACTTAAAAATAGTCTAAATATTTTAAATATAAAAATGGCATAAAGGCTGTGAAAAAAACCAATTTTCTACAAAAATTTATTCAATCTAAAATTTTAATTTGCACCTGCATAGATACAAGACAACAAATAACAATGTATATAACTAATTGGACATCAAAACTTGCATATTGATTTGTTGTTTGACTGAAAAGATGAACCTCTTTTTATAACGAAAAAATGACATATTTTAGAAAATGTTTTAAAACAAAATTTAATACACAGAAAACCATGAACATTTAGCGAAAAAAACATCTATAGACAATGCAGTTTATTTATGTGATATCTTATATATTGGTGTGCAATAAAATTGGGAACGTGTGAAATAATAAAATATAACATTATTTAAATAAAAAAGCTTTAGACAAATATATCAAGATTAAGTTTAAACAATAATAAAAATATATTTTAAGAATTTAATTTTGATTTAAAACTATAAACATTAGTTTGACATGCTAATAATAAATTTTTTTTTGTGACACAACACACAGATATTAACATTTACATTTAGCAAAAATTTAGAAAAAATTGGCTAAATAGCATATATTTGGCTGGAAACATTAAAATTGTTTGAACTTATATGTTAATCCATAAATTTACCATTTTATAGCTTAACTATAAGATTGACTTAAAGCATAGTAGAATAATGTAAAAAAACTGGCATAAAACGGCTTGCTTGTCAAAAATATCATAACAAAAATCAATGCATACCTCTATTAATATGCAATGTAAACACTGCAAAAAAAAGTCTTGGTATATTTTGTAATAAATTAAACTTCTCTATGGAAAGTTTTTACATAAAACACATCTTAAAAAAAACATATAGAGGGTTAAAAGTATCGTTTAAAATAGGATATCTTAAGCTGGTCACATAATAGTAAAATTTTAGTTTGATTTTAACAAAAATTTTAAATATTTTTAAAAGTAGTTATTTGCTAATTTTAAAGTAAATTCCGTCATAATAATACTTTAAATATTTTTAAGAATAAATATGCGAATAGTTGTGAACATAAAAATGATTTATTTTTTAATTAGCTTATTTAAGTTAACAAATTAAAGTTTTAAATGCTAACTTAAATGTGATAATTTTAATTGTGGCTTTTGCTTTTTGATTCAACAGTTGTGATCAAAATACTTATTAAATTTCGACGTTTTACAATAATTAGTTTTTTTAGAACAACAGCTGCTATCTTTTTTATGAATTAAAATGAATCATTTTTAGTCATTTGCAGAATTTATGATATGCTAATTATTAAAAAAATAAAGCGTAAAATATAAAAAATAGTTTACAAATTTTAGCTTAGTAAGATTTTTAAATATCAATACTATATTTATGCTTTTTTTCGCTTGAAATTTTAATACAAGTAACTTAAAATGTAATAATTTATTTAATCTATAAATTTAATTGAAATAAATTAATTTAGATCTATATAGAATTACTTATTTAATTTTTACATCCCAAACAAAAGTTAAGATTGTTGTGTACAAATAAATCACAACTATCGCAGTAAACGGAATTACATTTTTCGCAAGAAAAATTTCCAGGGCTGTTACATACAAAACATACGCCATTACAACACTTCGTAAAAGGTGCTAATGGATACATATGTTGAAAAGCTTTTGCAATATTTAAAGAGCTGACAAGTTGCAATTCGCAAATGGGGCACCCCATGGGTAAAGAACAAATAAAGGTTTTACACAATGGACATTCATAACCCACACTTTGCAGTTGTAAATGACAGGCACATACGCCTTCCTCATAAATCACTTTAGGGAAGCCAAGCTTAATCAAGTTAATAGTACTACTATTAAGTTCTCCTGGTACGGTCATACACCTAAGAATGTAATTAAAGTGGTCAATATTTAGCGGAACAAAAAATTTACCACCTGTTGATTCAACAATATTTTTATAAATCATTAGTTCTCCACATAAACTAATAATATTAACTTTAATGTTATGTTTACGCAGTAAATCAATAACATCAGTGTAAGAATCGGGATCTTTTAGAACCAAACTTGACACAATAACTAAAATTTCTCTACAAAATGTATAAGATTTTATTTGGTCAATGGCATCATACAATCCATTAAGTAGTGAAAAATTTCCTTCTCCCTTCTGATTTAAAAGATCTGCAATTTCTACGCTATTTGTAGATTTTACCGTTTTTTCATTGACCGTTGAAAAAGATAATCCAGAAATGGGATTCTCAAGAAAAAAAGTTGGTATAAATTTCTCTAAAGATCTAATAACATTTTTTCTTATCGAAGGTAAATAATCGTTTTTATCTATAGAACTAGAAATGTCAATTAAAATATGTAAATGTCGCAAAACTCCTTTTTTCCTATCATTATAAACAAATTTATTCAATTTAAACTCTTTTATAGTATCACTTCTTTCATCATCTAACCAAGTTCTTTTATATTCTTTTTCCCATGCGAAACCGCCTACCATTTAAGGATACAAAAAAAAAACAAAAAAAACGACGGCGACGAGATTCGAACTCGCGAACCAGAAGGAACCAGATTAGCAATCTGGCGCATTAACCACTTTGCTACACCGCCTTAGAAAATGACAAAATTAAAATAACAAATATTTTTAAATGTTAATCTTTAATAAATCACATTTTTAGCAAATCATTAAACAAATTAAATATTAAAATGTCACTTCAAAAATATGATTTTCAAATTAAATTTACATCTAAATTAAAACAAAATACTAGAAAAAATTTGATACATAAATTCTTTAATTATTGATCTCCTATACGATTATTTTGCAATTTAGGATTGTTAATTATAAGTTTTTCCATTGCCAAGCTTTTAAAATCAAAAGTACATCCATGTTGATCATAAAATCTATGCCTATTACAGTAATTATTTCCACATCGGCATTTATAGCAGCCAACCAAATTTAGTTTTCTATTACATTTACTGCATTTATTTTTCATTGTATCAGAATGTTTTGTAGATTTTGAGCTATTAAGAATATTATCATCACATTTTCTCTTTTTTGATGGAAGTAACAAAATTTCTTTAGATTCTTCTTTTTGCTTTTTGATACAAATGCTTAGTGTGTTTTCTACCGTGTTTACCATAGCCCTACTTTATAAAAATATTTTAATATTTTTTCAAGAAAGCTGAAATTGGTAATTTATTTTATGCAAAAAGAAAAAAAACTTTTTAAAATAAAAATGCTATTGTTTTTTTATTAAACATGTTTTAAAAATCTTTTCAATAATGAGTTGTGAATTAAATTCTTAGAATGCATTAGAATATGTATAAGATGAATATCAACCTCCCCTCTGACCAAAGAATCGTTTTATAACATTAATTTTTTAAAAAACTTTCCAATATTAATTTGTGAATTAAATTCTTTTTATTGATAATTTCTAATACTGCGATTAAATATGTTAATCTTCTTATATACATTTTTTATGACTATTATAATATGTTTTAACCTTAAATGGCTTTTTGTTTTATTTTGATGCGTTTTATAAATGATTTCTGCAACATGTCATTTTTTTATTAAAATTTGTAGGCCCATAAACCATGAAATCTGACAAAACACCTAAGATAAATAAATTTATTAGACGTTTATATAAAATTGTCAATGATAATTCATTTTCTGAAATTCAATGGACTACAGACGGTCTTAGATTTTATATCACAGATAAGACTGCATTTATGCTTAATGGTCTTAAATATTTAAGTAAAACAACAGAATACAGTGCCTTTGTTCGACTTTTGTATGTTTATGGCTTTTCTAAATCAAAATCTTTAAACGCATACGAAGAAGAATATTATCATAAAAATTTTAAAAGAGATGGTGATAACTTACTACCGTGCATACAAAGAACTGTAGAAACCAAAACCACATTACTACAAAAAAATACTAATAGAACGCCTAATCAATTACAAGATCTTTTACAATATTTAAATAATCAAAATTTTAAACTTGAAGGCGAAATTAAATCTTTGAAGGATCGTGTAGATCAACAGGATTGTACAATTAATGGTTTGGTGCAATTACTTACCAGAATATTTAGGACAAATGACAGTAATAAAGACATGTTACTACCACTAAATATCACTGAACACGGATCACCTATAAATAATGAACTTAGAATAAATTATGATAAAAATCAGGTTGCACGGCTAATGGCAGATACACCAAATATTGATGGTAGACTTGAAAATACAAATATAGAATTATCTAATAACAAAAACTTTCTTTTTGATTCAGATGATGAAGATTCAATTTATAAAACAAACTTTTTTTAAAGTTAAGTTTATTTATTTTGTAAGTTATAAATTAAATTTTTAAAATATCTGTAATCTATTTATTTTATTAATAAGTAATGTACTGTACTACCTGAAAGTCAATTATCTTTAATATTAGCTAATAACATTAGAAGTGTTGTACTTGTTACATCTCCAACTGCAGTCACTATTGGCAATGATATAATACCAATGTCTCCATCATAACACTGTAAAAATTTAGCTAACATTTCTATTAATTTTAGCAACAACATCACTTGAAAAATAAAAAATAAAATAAAAAGTGCATAAAACATTAAAGATCTTTTTAAGTCAAAAATTGATGATAACAAAATGTAGAATACAATCATTAAAAATGATGTTATTATCAAAGTTAAATAAGACAATTTCGAGTTATGTTCTGTACGGTTACTTACTGATGTAAATATCTTATGAAGATAAATAAATGATATAGAGACAGCTAAACCTGAATATACTGGGAAAGAAGAGGCAACAAATGTGTATTTTATAGACATTTTATCAAGAATATATCCACCAAATGTACTTAAAATGTATGTAAAGGCCAAAATACTTACAGATTGTATTGGCATCCTTTTTTTGCTAGCACATACAAAAAAAATACAAAACGGAATAATGCATAAACAGCTAAGAATAGTTAGAGACAAAATATAAATAGAAAAATGTTTAAAATAATCTGTAAAAAGGATTAAAAATCTAATACTAAGAAAATCTGATAAAGATCCTAAAGTAGGTAAAATTACATTATCTGGACTAATAGACATCCATTTAGAAAATTCGATTGTTAGATACAACAATAGAATAAATATTAATGTAGTTATTGTACAAGTTACTAAAGAAGTTGTTAAAATAGTAGTTAATAATTTTAACTCAAATATTCCTACTAGTATTGATCTAGCAATACCTATTATTCCTATTGTAATGCCAATTGTAATTGATTGTAAAAGCACAAGGTTTCCATTATCAAATACATATCTAAGATATTTTTCATAAGTAACACAATCATTTTGTCTTAATGAAGATAAATACAGTGCATACAAAAGTTCAACATTCCCTTTAAAATTTAAAATACAATTTGACTGCAATAAAATGGGAAATTTTTGCATGCCTGTAGTTTCAACAACATTTTCAAGCAATTTTCCTGTAACTAGAAGACCAAATAATGAAATAATAAGACTGGGTGTAGACTGTAATAAAAGGGTAAAATCGCATAGGTCACACATCATTTCAATTAAGATCATAAAACTTATATTTTTATTTCAGTAAGATGTTTCAGTGTTGTTTTATGTAAGTTTTGTTTTTATTCCACAAAATTTCTATAAATTCTTGAGTGTTGTAGGATATATGAATTTACATGATCGAGATAAACATAAAAAAATATCATATTTGTTATAGCCACAGAAAAGATAGATGTATTTAGAATAATTAAAATAAGAGTCATACTTTTTAAATATCCATACATTGGGATTATAAATTTTATGAAAATACACGTGTAAAAAACCACAAAGAATATTACAGAAAAGAGGCAGTAATTATTCCTTTTTAGAATGTAATAATTTCTAAGAGGTATCGAATTAAGGCGGAAAGCTATAATAATTTCTGCACATAGAAAAGTTAAAATAAAAATAATAACATTGATTGTTAAAGATATTAATCTGTTAAATATTTTGAAAATATAAAAATAACCTGAATCGATATCTAAATCTAAAGAAGTTAGTGCTACATGCATATTCAAAATAAAATCAGTCACACAAAGATTAATAATTAAACTAGAAATATATAAAAATACAGTTAACAAATAAGATCTTTGTATAGGCTTAACAAAATCATGCGTATACATTTTAAAGGATATTAATATCGTACAGATCAATACAATAGGAAGTATTCCGTAAATTGTTAAAAAGTGTAAAGTGTATTTTTCGAAATTTAAATTAGAATATCTTAGACAAATTAAAACATCTTTTAAATTTTTATCGTGGGTAAAATTTTCTGGAAAGCAAGAAAACAAAATGATTATTAAATCAAAAATAAATATGTAACTTAGATTATCCATAAAGGGGTTATTAATAATTAGAAAACAATTAAAAATGTTTTTATGTTAGAAAAGAAATGCAGCAAAGATTAAATAATTTTTTATGTTGAATATGTGAAATTTACTAATATTCTAAAAATTATTATATTTTGTTAGCTTATTTCAAAAAGCTTAAATTTAATTAAATAAATGAATTTGTATACATAATTATTTATCTAAAATAATTATTTTTTATTAAGAAATAAGTCTTTACGTAACAACTAATGTATTCTCTACAGTAAATCAAAAAAAGATTGAAATTTTTCTAAAAACTCTTGTGGAAAAAATGCTTTAAACTGATCAATTTTTTTAAAGTATTCTTTTACAGGATATTCTTCTAATATGTGTTCTATAATTTGTAAATAAAATACATCGCCACTCTCTTTGTACAAAGTAATTCCATGGTCAAATGCCAAATGAAAGGAAGGCACATTTTTAACTATTTTTTTTATGTATTTTTTATCAAATTTTCTTTTTAAAAGAACATATAATAAATTGCAATTGTCAAGTATTAACAAATGTAATAGTTTACACCACTTTTTTGTTAGTCCAGTGTTAAATATTTTTTCAATATAAATTACACGAAATAATATGTCAAAATTTGAATCATTAAGTTTTATATTAATAATTTTTAGATAATATGGTATACAAAACAGATATGTTCGTAATATTTTATACTTAAATGGAAGATTTAGTGGATTATTAAAATATTCCAATCTATTACTATATATTTTACAATTGTAAATTATCTCAGGATAAAAATTAATAAAAATCCTGTGATATTCATTTATAATTTTGTATTTTGAATACAACAACTCTATTTCAAGTTTTCTATAATCTAAATTATTTGAATGTAGCAGATACAAGCCTTCTCTATATTCCAACTTGATTGCCTTTAAAAAATAGTAAAAAGATTTATAATACGGAATTACAAATTTATCATTTTCTAAAGAATCTAAAAGAAAACATAAAAGTGGAGAAATTTTATACTTATAGTTTAAAATTTGTAATTTTTTAGAATTTTCCATATTAAATGCTAAATTACCAAGAAAATTTTGATCAACAAGATATAGCTGATGATAATTAATTTCAATAGTAAGAAGAAGTCTAAATATTTCATAAATTTCATTTTGACTAAGTTCTGTATTTTTATTCTTTTCTATTCTATAATTTGTTGGTAGATTTTTAATGTCTACTTGGTAGTCACTCGATTTAAAAAAATTTTTTTTTATGCAGTCTACGATTTTTTCATATTTTAATAAATTTTGAAATATGAGAGGACAAGTTATTTGTTCGTTTGTATCTCCAAAAAATATATAAATTATTAACTTTGTGTAGATATCATTTGGATGTATTTTATAATATATTTGTGATATACTTTTAGATATTGTCCTAGGTGCTAAGTGTTTATGCTTGTATAAATATACAAAATATTTAGCATTTATTTTTTTAGGCATAAACGAGGGTGTAAAATAAAACACTGTTTTTTTACAAAATAAATAAAATCACTAGAATTTGATAAAAACGTTTTTAATAAATAAATTAACTAGTACAACTCGTCCTATAAGATGTAAAAATTATAATATTAATATTTATTCTATACACTTTAGTTTTATTTACTAAAAATTTGAATTTATAAAAAATAAATCTTGTAATTTTTTATTTGTTTAATTGGCATATTTCTACATTTGATGTTATAAATTGAATTTCTAAAAAATTAATCTTTTAAGTTTCAATTTACTAAATAATACTAAATGCACTATATTGTATTTTAATTAAATTTATTGTACATTTCCTTCCTATTAAATCACTTCAATAATTTAACTTTTAACAAAAACATTTTTATTTATTTTTTTATATTTGCAAATGATAGTGCAATGTTATTAGCTTGAGTTTTTTCTACAAGTTGAAGTAACAAAGCAAAAAATCAATTTTAATGTAAAAAATTACTGTGTATTAAATATTTAAAGTGAGAATATTTTTAAAGCTATGAATTTGGATTTATAACTAATCTTACTTGAAAATTACAAAAGAGAAGTAATATTTTTTTGATTATTTCTTATTGAAGAAGAGCCGGGTTTTCAGGTCTTTGCATTAGTATTACCAGTGATTTAAGATCACATTACATCATTGTATTATTTAATACACTACTCTCTCAAAAATATAAAAAATTATACAATTTTTTAAATAAAATAATCTTTTTTTCTAACCTAGAATATTTTACGAACTAAAGATTTTCTAAATTTTTTTGAAATAAAACTATTGTAAAAAATTTCAGGATTTTCAATAAAATATAATTTAATATTTATGCCACGCATTAATTTTACTTATATCGCTCGATTCTGTATCATCAATAAATAAGTCACGACTCAAAGGTGTTTTTATTTCAGTAGTATTCTCCTTATCTTTCTTAATTTTTTGCCGTTTTTGAGGTTCAATTTTTGTAATTTTAGCTCTTTTTGTTGATACAGATTTTTCTGTAGTCACACTTTTTTTTACTGTTTTTTTAGTTGGTGTTGTTTTTGTGATAGTAGTCTTTCTTTCTGAAATTTTTACAGTTTTGTTAAGTTTAGATTTCTTTTTAACCGGCTTTAGTGTACCTACTGATCCATTTCTTAACTTTTCATATTCTTCCTCTTCTGCGTGCAAAAATTCAATATATTTTTCTTCAAATTCATCTAAATCTTCATTCCATAAATCTTTGGGTGTTTTTCTTAACAATGATTCATATTCCTTTCTACTTTGTTCGTATTCTTCATTAAGCTTTTCAATCCTCTCAAATGTCAGCGAATAAAGTTCCATTGACAAAAGGTAATTATAATTATCAAATGGCTCGTAATTTTCTTTCTCAAGCTCGGATATAATATCTTTGCGCTTTTTTTTATTTATTATTAGTTGATCTGATACTACTGCTTTTATAAATCTAACCTTGTTTTCATTTTTTAACATTCTTTCTTTAAGTATTTCTAATAATTTTTCTTTTCTCTTTAAATAGAAAGTTAATCTAACATAATAAAATTCTTTTATTATTTCTTCTGGTGTTTCGTATTTCTTTATTTTATGATTTGGATCAAAACAAATCATATTATTAGTTGAAATCAAAGTAGAAAGTTTTTTGTTCTTTAATTTTTTTGAGTAATGTATTTTTATATTAATTGTCTTATCAGTGTTACAGTCATCATATTCATCAATTAAATTACTTTGTTTTAGACTGTCTATATAAGATTTATAATTATAAGTCCAGGTCCCTACTGGTAATTCTGTAATGTGCAAATCTGTCTCTGTTTCCTCCCAAACACCATCTGTTTGATATTTACCTGGTGATAATTTAGTAACTGTACCTACAAAATTTCTATAATAAGGCATCATTTCAATCATTGGTTCATCTTTTAATAGTTTTCTAATATTATTTACAATATCTAATGGATTAAAATTAGGGATGTTTGTAGACCAACCTGTTCCAATACCTTCTGCCCCATTAACCAATACCATAGGAATAATAGGAACATACCACTCTGGTTCGATCGATTGATTCTCTTCATCTAAATATTTCAAAATTAAATCATCTGATTTATGAAATATTAATCTAGTAATAGGATTAAGATAAGTAAAAATATAACGATGTGCTGCAGAATCCTTTCCGCCTTTTAATCTTGAACCAAACTGTCCTTCTGGTACAAGTAAATTTATGTTATTTGAACCAACAAAATTTTGTGCTAAACCGACAATGGTTGTATTTAAAGAAACTTCGCCGTGATGATACTGTGTAGATGCATTAACTGACCCAGCAAGGACTGATACTTTAACTTCCTTATAAATATTTTTTTTAAAACAAGTAAATAAAATTTTCCTCTGTCCTGGCTTAAACCCGTCTAACACATTTGGTATTGATCTAAAATTATCAGCCATAGAAAATAAAATTAATTCCTTGTTAATAAAATCTGATATAGAAATTTCACTGGGCCTTTGATCTAAAAAAGTACCCTGTTCAAGACCAAGAAGCCACGTTTTTCTACTATCAACTTTTTTCTTGCTAAAAGCCAATTCAATAGACTCTTTATCTTCATCTGTCATTGGACAAAAATTCTTAACATGCAGAGGTAGATTTTTAAAATATTCTACTGCATCTTTAGCCGTCGATGTACCCAACCCTTTATAATATTTAAAAGTATAATTAGGGTTTTGCTCCTTAAATTCCAAATATTCTGGAATTGTAAAAAAATTAACTATTTCTCCTCTAGAATTTTTTCCTCTAACAATCGGAGTAATAAACTCTTGTAGAAATCCTGAAATTTTAAGTAGTGAAGGATACCAATAATCAAAAAAATTGATAAGAAGTCCTTTAATGTGACTTCCATCATGATCTTGATCTGTTATTATCATAACATGTCCATACCTTAAGCTACTAGTATCGGTGTACGTTTTCGCGTGTTGTAGCCCTAAAATCTTTTTTATAGCAATAATTTCTACATTTTCTGATATTTGCTTATTAGTAGCTTCTCTTACATTTAAAAGCTTACCTCTTAAAGGATACACACCTAGTCTTTCTGTTCCTACAATAGACCTTCCTGACATTACCATCGTTTTAGCAGAATCTCCTTCTGTTAGATACAATGTACATTCATTAGATTTAGCAGTGCCCGCCCATTTTGCATCTTCAAGTTTATCAATAATTATTCGTCCTTTTTTCTTACCATCAGTTTTCTTTAATGCAGCATCTTCTTTCGCTTTTACAAAATCTGCTATTTTCGTAACTACTTCTGTATTTTTTATGACTTTATCAATAAAATCTTTTAAAGGTTCACATTTAGAACCAAAAGCTCCCACACGTAAAGTTAAATTTTCTTTAGTCTGTGAATCAAATGCTGGATTATCAATTAATGAATTTATAAATAAAAACATAGATGATTTTACCTGAAATGGTTTTACATTACTAATTTTCTTTTTTTTAAGAGCTTCTATTATTGGATCAGTAAGCTGTTCTACAACGTGATTTACATGTGACCCACCTTTTGATGTAGAAATACTATTAACGAATGAAACTTGCTGAAATTGTTCTTCACTAGTTGTAAATGCAAGTTCCCACCTTTCATTTATTATTTCATGCACTACAACTGCATCTTCTGGAAGATATAATTTAACGTAATCTTTAAAATTCTTTATTTCGATTTTTTGTTCATTTAAATACACATTTACATTTTTAACTATGCCTGAAAGATCATAAACCCTTTTTTTAAATAACGAAACAATATCATCATCAAGATTTTTCATACCAAACCGTACCAGGTTTGGCTTAAAAGTTATTTTTGTAAAATCACTTTTTTTATATGTTTTAATCTCCGGCTTTCCTGTAACAGTCATATTATTTTTAAAAACTTGTTTATATATTTTTCCTACTTCTTGATCAGATGTCTCTACAACAAATTCTGATGAAAATATGTTGCATAATTTTGCACCATATCCATTTCTTCCTCCTGTAACTTTTTTTTCTTTATCATCATAATTTGATGATGTAAGAAGTTGGCCAAAAATTAACTCAGGAACATAAACTTTTTCTTGTGAATGTATTTTGATTGGTACACCTTTACCATCATTATATACACTTATTATATTGTCTTCTTTATTAATTTCTACTTTAATATTTTTCATTTTTGGGTCTCTTATCTTATTATCTGCTGCATTGACAATAATCTCATCAAATATTTTATATAACCCAGGAACAAAGCTGATATTTTTACTTACAATTTTTCCATTTATTTCATCCCATACGTACATGTTTTGTACTTCTTTTTCCACTGAGCCTATGTATGTATCGGGTCTTAATAAAATGTGCTCTAAAGGTGTTTTTTTTTGATATGTCTCTTCAATTGTCTTTGTCATGTGAGGGCTAAAAAATTTTCTTCTACTAATCACATTTAAGCCTAAAAATTAGTAATAAAAACCAGTAAATGCAAGTTTAAAAATAGTTTTATTTAAATATTTTGTATTGTCATTAATAAAAATTTTAAAAATATTGTATTTTTATAAAAATTATTGCTTTTTGCAATAAATAGTTATTTTAATAAAAGATTTTATTTTCATAAAATTCACAAAAATAATAAAAATTTATATCGAAGCACAAGTTTATGCATCTTAAAAATAAAACATTTTCTTTTTTTCTACATCTAAAATAATATAAAAAAGCTTTTAAAAATGTTTAATTGTAGCTTTGTGATATTCTAAATCTTGTTTAAAGAACGTCATGCTGCATTACTAAGATATATTCATTAAACATTACACAAAAAATAAAGTTTATTTTTATTTTACATTCACTAAAAAGCACAAAATGTTATAGTATAATGTTCTTAACATTGATTATAATAATATAGCTTTTTTAATTATTTTAAATTTTATTAAAGATTATAAGCATTTATTTTGTTTGTATGTTTATAAAATGGGTATTTGAAAGTTAGTTGAATTTTAAAACAAGTTTTTTACTTTAAATATCTTTCTTACTATTTTCATGTAGAAAATTTAGTACTTTTTTATAAAATTTTATAGTCAAAATAATCATAAATTTAAACAATATAATATTTTTTATAAATACTAAGTAAATACACCCAATAGAATTAAAATATCAGCATAAAATAATAAATAACATTTTTGAAATATTTTAATTAAATAAAAAAAAGGGATGTTTTATATAAATAAATTTTTAGCCTGTAAACACAATGTTTAAAATAAGCAAATGTCAGATATTTGATTTTATCTCCATCGTAGTTGAAAGTGCAGTTGGATACTATCTCTACAGAAATAATAAGAAACAATTTTATCTTGGTCTTCTAAAAACAATTAATATAAAACAAATAGCACTAGACATTCTTTTAATGATATTTATATCTATTTCGTCTTTAATAGTAATGATTTTTATGTTTATGTGGAATGTTTATATTTTAATGACATTTATAATTGTATCTATTCTTTACATCTCTTGTAAAAACACCTTATTTTTATGGTTATTTTTGCCTTTGTACTTTTTTAAAACAGGACTAGTTGACGATCCAAGAGTTCGTAGTACAATATATTTAAAACTGCCAGTTCTTGTATGTTTTGCTATATATAATCATATCAACTTATTTATTAGTATTGTTATTCTAGAATTAGTTCTTTCTACAGATTACAATGGTTTTATGAAGATTTTGTTTCTTTTTATGAATTTAATAATGATTTTTAATATAACAAAGAAGATTTCAGTAAATACTATCTTATTGCTATTTAAGTATAGAGATGGTTATATTGAAAGTTTTATAACTAGAATAAAAGCTATAGGAATAGTATGCATGTCATCAATCCTAAAGATTTTTTCTGTTTTTTATCTAAGCCCGTGGATAGAAGATTTTATTGTCATTTATTCTTTAAATCATGACACTTCTTATTTTGAATCAGTGATAGAATTAAAAAAACTGGAAATTAAAAAGTGTCATCGTGCCAGGTTTCTATTGTATCCTTATACTATAATTATGGTATATTTTACTTATAATTATGTTAATTTAACTTTCTTTGGGACATACCAAAAAATAATATTTTTTTTAGATTTTCATATTTTTTATATTGAAATTTATCAGACAATTTCAGATTATTACAGATTAATTGATAGTGAGATGGCATGTAAAAATAATAAATATACAGAAATAGAAATAAATTAGAAATACTAAGTAATAAATAGAATTATTTGACTTAATTATTTCTTGCTTTGTTATGTACAAGTGTTTGTAATTACAACAATTTTATTGCATTTTTAAAATACAATTTTCTTGAAAAGATTATATGAAACAAAAACTATAACTTTTAGTTAAAAATACATACAATTTATTTATTAAACAAAATGTCAAGTTTTAATGTTGCATGAAATATTAATCAAAAAGACATAAATTAATTTGATGCACAACATTTACATTCTTGATATCTACAAATATCCTTAAAATTTACAGTATAAATAAAAACATTCAATTAACATAAGCTAACCTCAAAATATCAAATAATTTTTATCACAAAATTAAAATTTAATTAAAAAAGATTAACTTTAAACTTTACAAACATTTATAAATTAAAAGATTGTTAAATTAATTTTGACATATTAAAATTTATTTATTAATCATTCCTCAACTCCTTCTTCTACAATTTCATTTTCTTGTTTATTATTTTTTCTCCTTTTCTTATAATCAGGAATGTGTCTCTTCCAGTCCTCATTTTCCATTTCTTTATCTTCTCCAAGTTGATTCTTAACTATCAATTTTTTTATTTCATAAATAGGATGCTTGTTATTTGCAATACAATCGTATACAATTTGCTTAACTACTGTCAATCCATCATAAGAACCCACTACCCCGATATGCTTACCTGTAATATAAATATAACATTTACTTATCATTTTTAAAGCTTTTAGTACCATACTATTTTTACCAATAAGTCTATCTCTTCTTTTAGTAAACACTTTTTCACTTTTAACCATTTTACGAATTTCTATAATCTCTCCACAATATTCATCCTCTAAAACTTTCATAGCAGTTTCAACATCAACATTTTTAGCTACAAGTCTAATAAAGTCACATCCTTTTACAAAAATAAAAGGATCTCTAGTGTTTGTATGTGTAAATACTTCTATACTTCTCTCTACACTATCAATGTTGCAAGATAATTTTTTATTCTCTAAAGCTTTGATAATATATTTACTTACTTGTTCTATATATTTATCCCGGTATTTGGGATAGTACACCAGAAATTTATTAATTTCTTTAAACGAATTTTTGAAGTCCTTTTCATCAAATTTAACAGTGTTCATAAAGGATTAAAAAATATACAAAATAAAATATAATAATTTATTACGATTTGAATATTTACATTGGCAGTTCAACTACAGTCTAAAATATATTTACGACAAAATATTATTTCCCTCTTGCTATCTTTAGTTGTAAAAAAAAGTTAATTGTTGTAATAATAATGACTACAACAGAAAACATAATGCACATCCGAATCTCATGTTTATTCATGGGGTAAAAAAAAAATTAAATTTATAATTCAATTTACTAGCCAAGAAATATTTGACATGCAACTGCTGAGTTAATGCATCGAGTATTAAGGTATACCTCCAATTTTATATTAAAAAATAAAATGAATTTTATTTAAATTTAAATGTGTGTAAACAAAAATAAAATTAGGTATTAAAAATATATTAAATTTTAAAATTTGTTGAAATACAAACAAAATAAATGATAACTATCAAGCATCAAATATTTAATAAAGAAAGCTAAAACCTAAAATTTTAAAAATAAAATTTACCATAAAAAATAATTTATTTTTTAATATGCTTATAATGATTATAACATTTTTTCAATTTTTTAAATAATTTACTTTCCGTGTATCCATTAACTTTACAAATTAAAGATTCATCAATTTCATAATCTTTTAAATCAAATACAAATCTCTTGTTTTTTTCCAATGTAAGTTTATTAATAAAATATTTAATAATTACTTTAAATCTAAAATCTATATCACAATTAATAATTTTATTAAAAATATTTAAACATTTTTCTGTTTTACCTTGATATAAATATTTCATACCAAGCTCTAATCCATCGAGCTTTGTACATTTACCTTTTATGTCACTACTTTCAAATAAATTAATTATTTCTTCACTGTATTTAATATTTGTTTTCTTAATGTAGTAAAGCACTATCTCATCTTCTATAAAAAATCTATAAAATATTTTAATAAATTTAAGAATTAATAAGTTGATTTCTGGATCATTTTGATAAAACATTCTAATAATTTTAATATTATCAATTACTTTTATTTTATAATAAATATCTTTAAATATTTTTATACACAATGACTTGATATATTTATTTTTATGTATAAAAACATCTAGTATTTTATTAAATGTACCATTAATAATTTCCTGGTCTTCTGATGATCTTATAAGTTTATGCAACTTTACTAATTTTAATTTTGTGCATGAATAAGTGTCAGTAGGTAAAAAAACAATTTTAGAAAGCTGAGCTATTTTTTTTGTAGACATGGGTCAAATATAAGATATCTTATAAAATTAAGAAAATGATTAGTTTAGATTTTTTATTATTTTTTTACACTGAAATTATCAAAATATTATTATTTTTAAAGAGATAAATTTATAAGGTTTACATTACCACCGTAAATTTTTATACATTTAAAAAAAATGACATTTGTTTATGTGTGCAAATCTATTGATAGTTACTAGAATAAGGTTGGTAAAAAGGTTTAAAACTAGAATTATGAACACAGTAATGATTATGAATCAATAGACACTGTAATATTTGAAATTTATGAACACAGTAATCATTTTGAATTAACAAACACAGTAATATTTAAAATAGTTGAACACAGTAATGATTATGAATCAATAGACACAGTAATATTTGAAATTAATGAACACAGTAATGATTATGAATCAATAGACACAGTAATATTTAGAATAAATGAACGTATATATAATTTAGAACTAATGAACGTATATATAATTTAGAATGAATGAACACATGTTTTGTTCCAACAATAAAAATCCCCTTTTAATGGAAATCGATGATAGAAAAAAGAATAAGAAAATAAATATTGTAAAACTTCCTAAATTTTTAGGAAATTATATTACAAATTTACACCAGCAAACAGATATTGGCGAGGTGGATATATCTGACAATGGAAATATAAAATTTCGTATTTATGATAAATCAGGAATCGGAATTCCTTTGGAGTACAATGTTAAACAAATAAGTAAAAATAATTCTGATATGTATGTCTTATCTAACACTCAAATATTATCTTCAATAGAAGGAGAAATAGATAGCGAATTAGTAGTTACTCCCATTATCAATAAAAAATATATTGAATTTAAAAAACAAAATGCTTATAAAGTTCCTAGCACAACGGCAATTATTGATTCCACAACAGAAAAAATAAGATTAGAAAAGATTGGAAATTTAAGAGAAATGGACTATTTGGCTAGAAAGAGAAAACAGATGTTAATTGATAAGAAAAGAGAAAGACTTGACAAAACTGAGGCCATGAATATTGTTTTTAATGCTTTTGAAAAATACGAAAGCTGGACTGTCCGTGATCTTGCAGATTTTACTGGACAACCGACTGCATTTGTACAGGAAATCGTAAATGAAATATGCAATGTAGATAAAAAAGAACATAAAAGTCTTTACACTTTAAAAAATGAATACAAATAGAAAAATAAACGTTATGCTTTTTGATTAATTTTTATTTTACTTGTATACTTAAAAAAGACTGAACTTTTTTATGAAGGATAAGTAATCTTGTAAATCAACAAGGTTGTATGGCCTAAGTGCTAGACAAGTAATAATATTTTCTGGTTGTTCTATCCATTCAACAATATCTAAAGAACTTAGAGTCTCTTTAATTTCTAAAATATCTTCTTTTTTAATTTTTAAAATAACAGTCGTCATTGTATCAAGAGATTTTAAATAAAGCTGTGTATCGCTATTAGATCTAAATAATTTTATTGCTTTTATTGCAGAATGACAAGCTTGTGCTATTAAAGCCCCTTTTTTAATACTTTTTATATCTGACACTAGAAAAATATATTGAGTTATCATTAGGGTGTTTAGATGTAAAACATAACTTCAATATGCTCTAATCTCTTACTAAAGAAAAAACAAAAATGCCACGACTGAGAATCGAACTCAGGACCTTCAGTTTACAAGACTGACGCTCTACCCCTGAGCTACAGTGGCTTAAAAATCTATTCGGTAGATGTTATACAAATAAATAAAGTGGGGGATTGTAATAAACAGAAAATAGTATGTAAGTTGTAGATATTTGTACTACTTTTTAGCAATTTTTTTACTTCTCACTGAATAAGTCAAAGAAACATTATTTTTATCGAATGATTAATTTTATTTTTATGTTAGAATCTTTTCCCAAAAGCCAATAAATTGCCTCCCACATGTGAATCTTGTTTGATGCAGCCATTTGCATTTTTTAAATAAAATTTAATTAAATAATTTATATAAATTACTATTTACTTTGACATCTGCATTTTAATAAAATTTCAATAACATTTAGTATAATCATATTTGTTACCCTTTAAATGTTTAAAATAATTAAACCTACGCTAGAATCTGATATTAGTCCTCAATCGCTAGAATCTTTAAAAATTCTTCCAGGTGAAATTTATTCCATTATTTATAAAAATAATCTTGCTTATGTAATATTTGCAGATACAAGAATATGTCTTATTAACAAATCAGACTATTCAATTTTACAATTATATGATGGACTAGTAGAAAGAGTATCTTCTGTTGAATACACATCATCTTATATTTATGTTCATTGTTTTAGTAATAAATTATATAGAACTAAATTTACTGAACTTAAATATATTCATTTGTACACTGATATCACAATGTTTAGTGTAAACCATTTAGATAACATTTTGTATTTAGATACGAGAGGCAATATTTATTTAGATAGTGTTCTTATAGATATATTTCAATTTGATATTAAATATATAAGATTTATTAATACAGATAAATGCATTGTACATAGTGACAAAATTATTTGGAAAGATGTAGAAATTCCACTTAGTAAATTTTTATTTGGATATAAAAATTATATTATTGATTCTAAAGGTATACATGATTTAAATAGAGAGACATTTTATAAAATTAAAAATGTAGAGACTTTAAAAGAACATGATAATCATATATTGGTTTTAAAATGTAAAAAATGGTATAAAATACTACACACAAAATAAAGTTAAATTAAATACAATACTTATTTTTTCAATATAAACCTTTTTGATACAAAATTTTTATGTTATTATTAAAGTTTATAAAAATAATAAATTATAACCCCCAATGACATTAAATGAAAATGAAGTAGGCTTGATATTAAGTTATGGAAAAAATTTTTATGCTGATAAAATAACAGAAACAGAAAATCAAATAAAAGCTATTTTTGATAGCATTTCTTTGAAATTAGGAACAAGGGAAGTTGAAACGGGACTAGCCCCACCTAGTACTTGGAATCTAAGTTTAGATACCCGTAGGACCCAATCAGAACAAAGTTTGCAAGTAGCAAGAGTGTGTAAAGTGATAGAAGGATATCAAGAACCTAGGTACATGATAAACATTAAACAAATGGCTAAATTTGTTGTTGGGAAAGGTAAAAAATTAGATGCTTCACTTATTCAAGATGGAATGAGAGTGGGGGTTGATAGAGTTAAATATCAAGTTTTACAGCCTCTTCCTAGAAAAATTGATGCAAGTGTTACTCTAATGCAGGTTGAAGAACGGCCTGATGTTACATACAATGACATTGGTGGGTGTAAGGAAGAAATAGAAAAAATTAGAGAAGTAGTAGAAAAACCTCTTTTAGAACCAGAAAAATTTATAAATTTAGGAATAGATCCACCAAAAGGGGTACTTTTGTATGGCCCTCCAGGTACAGGCAAAACTTTACTTGCTAGAGCAGTGGCTAACAGAACGGATGCTTGTTTTATTCGAGTCATTGGTTCAGAACTAGTACAAAAGTATGTAGGAGAAGGTGCTAGAATGGTAAGAGAAATTTTTGAAATGGCAAAAACAAGAAGAGCTTGTATTATATTTTTTGACGAGGTCGATGCTTTTGGTGGAACCAGATTTGAGGATAGTGGTGAAAATGAAGTTCAAAGAACTATGCTTGAATTAATTAATCAACTTGATGGATTTGATAGTAGAGGAAACATAAAAGTTCTAATGGCTACTAACAGGCCCGATACATTAGATCCTGCTTTATTAAGACCAGGTAGATTGGACAGAAAAGTAGAATTTTCATTACCTGATTTAGAAGGTAGAACTGCTATTCTAAAAATACATGCTAAAACAATGAGTGTTGATAAAGACATTAGGTACGAATTAATAGCCAGATTATGTAACAATGCTACAGGTGCAGAGTTGAGAAGTGTTTGTACAGAAGCAGGGATGTTTGCTATTAGGGATAGAAGAAAAATAGCAACAGAAGAAGATTTTCTTAAAAGTGTAGACAAAGTTATTAAGGGATATGCTAAATTTTCTAGTACACCTAGATATCTTACATATAATTAAAATTTTATGTAAACTGACAGTTTTAGAACTTTTTAAAATTTATTTTGTTTGTAAAATTAAACAAATTTAAAAAAAATAGCATAAATATGTTATTTATTTGCCCTGTACATGGAGAATTTAATTACAAAAGTATTTAAACCTACTTTAAATATTAAATTTTTAAATACAGATTGTGATTATAATTTTATTATAAAAAAAATAAAAGAAACCAATTATTTCAATATAAAACAAAAAAACCAAACTAATTACACATTTGGAGAAGATCTTATTTCTACTCTATATAAAGATGAAATTTATACATTTAAAAATTTAACTATTTATATTGTGTGTGACAAAAGTAAATCAGATTTTTATATTCCATATTCTTATTTTGATTCTGAGGAATATCTCATTCAGCTAGAAAAAATTTATAAATTATGCTTGCCAAAAAAAGAAGAATCATTCCTTAGCAAAGGTTCATCATTGTTTAAATCTTTTATTCTTGATACCTACATGGATGATAAAAGTAAAGCAGACTCTTTTTTTTTAGTAGGTAAATATGAAGATGCATACAAAATTTACAGTAAATATACTGATTACAACGACTTTTCGCATTATTGTATAGAAATGGCTTTTTATTGTACACTTAAATACAAAGAAGTACCGTTTCATTTTATTGATACTTTTTACTTTAATAGATTGATATATTTGCTATTCCAAAGTCAAGAGTACGATTTTTTGTGTTATCGTTTTTATAAAATTAGTTCTAGCATTGATACAAAAATAATGCATGAAATTGGATTAAGAATGTTTCAAACATCTTTGTACAAAAGGAAAGGCTTTGAACTACTATACTTTTACAATAACAGAAATAAACTTGACCTTACTACTGTTTATAATGAGATAATCAATGCCGGTAATAAAAAAAAGATTGATGACAAGGTTTTTTGTCAAAATTTACCATTAAGTTCTAAATCATCTGAGTTTAACGTGTCTAGTTTATTTATAATGAATTTTACAAATTTTTTTATTATATTTCAGTATCAAGTTTTTAATATAAAGTTTAATATAAAAGCAAAAGGAGAATTTACCATAAAAAATAAGAAGCGTAAATTTGAAGATGTAATAGATTTTACTGTCTGGTTTAAAAGACCTGGGTTTTATACAAGAAATTTATGTATTCAACTTGAAAAAACATATAATTTAAAGCTATTTTTTGTAGTTTTAGAAAAATTTCGCGCTAAAATATTCTGTGATTATAGATTAAAAAGCCAAACATTTTTGTCCTTACAATTTAAAGTTAGCGAACTATTTAAAATATGTTCTAAACATAAGTTTACTGTTACAGAAACAGATATAATAAAAATTTATAGAGAAAATATTTTAGGACTAACTGATTCTTTATGTGATAATATTACATCTTTTGATATTATAAACGATCCAATACATACAGATTTAAATTTTAAACATTTTTTGACATGGGACAAAAAATTATTATCCTGTGAAAATAACGTTACACTTAGATTTAATAGATATAAAAAACATAAAATTAAATTTCTAGAACAAGAACAAGTTTATATGATTTATATAAAAAAAAGAAAAAAGCTACGACAAAAAGTTTTTATTTACATATTTAATACATATATTTTAGAAGAAAATACAAAGTTGAGTTTATTGATTAACAATGTGTATAATGAAAAGTTGTTTTTGGAAGTTAAAGGTTTGACTTGTGAAGTGTTAGACTCAAATTTTGTAATAGTTAGTAAAAAAAGTACACTTTTTGAAATGAGATGTAAAAATTTAAGTGTTAATGCAAAATTTGAATTTTTTATTCGCAACAAAGATGGGGAATTTATGGATTTTGATTACAAAATAGATTTTTTATAATTGTACATATTTATTTTATATGATCTTCTATACTTGCTGGAAATTTAAGTTTACAAAATTCCAGGATAATTTTTATTTTCCTCCTCATTTCACTATCAGAAAGAGCATATTCACATGTTTCACCATTTACTAACCTGCTATTTATTAAAGTTTTGTTAATGCTATAGACTTTAATTGGGATAAAATTGCTATTTTTTATATAAAGAATATTCTTTTTTATATATAAGTCTAATCCATCAGTTACATATAAAGCCATAGATATTAGACAAATAAATAATATTATTACAGCAAATGTAAAATAGAAAAATAATTTTCTCCATTTTTTAGATAAACACATATAACATATCATATTGTTTGTGTTATTTTTTATTTAAAAAAGTTTGTTGTTTACACAAATAAACATACTTTAAATTTATTGTATTAAACTACTAGAAAGACACTAAATATAAAAATTACAAAATGTAAAATTTTCTTGTTTTTGATAATTACATCATTTAATACACAATGCCGTCGTTATTTATTGTTTTAATGATATTGTTAGTTTAGTATGCCAAAGATAAATTTATCTGTAAAAGACTATTTAAATGGTTGTACGTCAAATAAATCATATATATTAAAAGTTTGAATTTGAATATTTACACGCTCTAAAGGCCAACAATTTTTAAAAAGGGCTGTTAATATTTAAGTAGATACCAGCTAGTTGATATATAAGAAATAAATTTCTGTACTTAAAAAATCGCTAATACTCTACAAAAGAAATATTTTACCATAAGAATATGTTTAGTTAAACATGTAAAAAGAAAATTTTAACAAAATCATTTTAAAAGTACATTTTTAAAATCTTATTTTTGATACACTACTTGTACGATTTTAAAATGTTTTAGTTAGCACTAACTTATACATAATAATACTATAATATATTAATATTCTAAAATTTTAATGATCTAAATTAATTTTTTATATATTTTTTAGGCACCATAATTTAATTTTTACATTTTTTCGCCCATGTCTGATAATCCTCACAAGTTTTGGAATAAACAACCCGTAGGTGTTGAAGAAGGAGCTAATAGCCTTATTAGTCATCCCAACAAAATACCAACCGAAGAGTATAAATTACCAGAAGGCTGTGTATTTGAAAATATCACTGATTACAAAGAATTATCCAAATTTTTATCAGAAAATTATGTAGAAGATATTGATAATGAATTTAGATTAATATACTCTGAATCATTCTTCTCCTGGTTTATCAATAATCCTAAGCATTGTCCTGAATATTCTTTAGGTCTTAAATTTAATAACTGTTTAATAGGATATATATTTGGAAAGGAAACAGCTATTTCAATCAATGGATTAACACAAAAAGTAGCTGCTATTAATTTTTTATGTGTCATTAAATCTAAAAGGAACAGAAGAATATCTCCCATTCTGATTAAAGAAATTACTAGAAGATTTAATTGTAATGGAATATACAGTGGTATATTTACAGCAGGTACACCTTTATTTTTTAAAATAAGTACAGCTAAATATTGGCATAAACCTATTAATACTAAAAAATTAATTACATCAGGTTTCTTGGATAGACCTGTTGATGTCTCTCTACCCTGTGCTCGTTCTAGTACACGTTTATTGAAAGAAGAAGATATAATGATTTGTTATAAATTGTATAAAAATGATATACAGAAATATAAGTTAGTAGATGATATGGATGAAGATGATTTTAGACATTTTATTAACAATAAAATTATGAGAGTATATGTTAATGAAGTAGATGGTGTTATTAATTCATTCGGTACATATTTTGTTCTAGACACTATGTCTATTAAAAAGAACCAAAGGATATCTAGTGCTTATTTAAATTTAATATGTGGAGACTGTGTTAAGACCATGATTGAAGATCTTATTTATTTTAGTGCACAGGAAAAATGTGATGTATTTAATAGCATCAATATAGGAGAAGCAGGGAAATATTTAGAAGAGCTTGGTTTTTTAGAAGGATCGGGAGAATTGAACTATTATTTGTATAATTGGAAATCGGGAGTAATTGATAAAAATCGGATTTTTTATTATATGCATTAAAAAATTATTACATATTCTTAATTAATATAAATTCATTAATGATTAATTAAAACCATCTTAATTATAAATTTAATTAAAATAAATTTATGCATTAATTAAATTTTAAATACAATACTATAAAAATTCTATTTGTTTTAATTTTTTAATATAATCTAATTAAAAGTGTTAATTACAATAATTTATTTATTGATTTAATTTGTTTTCATTAGTCAAATCAAATACACTAAATTGTCTTTTATCCTCTTTTTTATTATTTTTAAAATAAGACTCTGAATTTCTTCTATGTTTAATAAGATTTGGTACTGGATTGGGTTGATTTCTTCTTTCAATTACTTCATCATTTCCGCTAGATTGTAAATATCTATGATTTAGCAAAACAGAGGCAGATGGTCTGCTTAAATGGCTTGGATTAATGCACTCCAAAATAAATGTAATAAATATATCATCTAAACAGTTACTATTATTTTTAGATCTAATTTTATCTATAAGTTCATTCATCGTAATTGCTTTATTATTTTCATTACAAATAATTTTATAATTATTTTCTTTATCAAAATATAAATGTGTATTCTTTCCATGTTCTAACATAAAACGCGGAAGTCTACTAAATAACTTATAAATTTTATAGAGTAAATCTTGATTATCTTTCCCAGGAAATAAAGGATGGCCCATGTACATTTCATAAATAATACAACCTAAAGACCAAATATCGCATGAATTACTGTAAGGTATTCCTAAAACTACTTCTGGTGCTCTGTAATACCTAGACTGAACATAAAAATTATTTTGCTGTGGTTCGTAAAAGGCTGATCCAAAATCAATAATCTTTACATCAAATGAATTATAATCTTTAATTAAAATATTTTCTGGTTTTAAATCACAATGGGTTATTCCCATAATACTTAAATGATTAAGTCCTTCTAAAATCTGTTTACCAATCTTTTGTATAATTTTATGATCAACTCCTTTAAATCCTGTTATTTTAATAAACTCATACAAATTATGTCCTAACAATTCTTCAACTATGCATAAATGCTCTTTAAAAACAAACACATCTTTAATTTCAACAAAATATTTACAAAGATTTTTATACATCAACTTCTGTAAAATTTTAACTTCATTCATTTCATAAAAATAATATTTAGGACTGTTTTTAACAATCTTTATCGCTACCTCTTCACCACATGTACTAACACATCTAACTACTTGACTAAATGTTCCTGTGCCTAGTAAATCAATTATCATATATTTCTTAAGTTCAGTTTTATGTAAAAAATCTCCTCTAAATATTACTAGATTATTATCTATATTGTCATATAGAGAATTATGTAAAGTTGATGGATTAGTAAGAACTTTCTTTCTCATCTACAGGACCCCATAAATTTTTATATTTAAAAGAAAAATTTATTAAATTTGTTTGTATAAATTTATGCAAAAAAGCTTAAAAGAAGTTTTTTGAGCACTTTGCATAATTTATTGAATTAAACCAAAATGTTGATAATTTTGTTTTATTAGCTAAAATATGCAACAAAAAATAAATACTAAATTTTGATACATTATTTTTACAAAACTTTTAATTAAAAAGAAGAGATTTAATTTATAATTATAAATATCTGAGGATGATTAAAACAAAAAATTATGTTATAAGTATTGTAATTTTATTTATAACTCTTGAGTATTTTTTATATTAGTTTCTTCGACCTCATACTTTTCAGTAGCATCTTGAATAAAGCTTGCACTAAAGATATTGTTTTCAAAGCTAATTAACATTTTAGCTTCTTCTCCATTATAAACAGTTTTATTAAGCAAGGCATTTAGTGAATCTTCATTTTCTATAACCGCAATGATAGACTTTTCAATTTTTAAAAATATTTTTTTAATATTGTATATCGTAAATCCTCTACAATTTGTTAATATCCTGACTGTTTCTTCATAATCAAGTGAATCAATAGATTTTTCACAAAAACTTTTGATGAGATTTAAAATCTCTAAAAATCGATCTTCTACGTCATATTCAGGTATAATATTCATTTTAACTGCTAATTTTGAAGAACAAATAGGCTTTAAGTCCATATTCTTAATTTCTTTAAGTTTTTCATATGCATAAAATATAAATCTGTAAACACAAAATATATTGAAATCTCCTATAAAACTACATTCTTGAGATACTAGTCCAAAAATCGTATCTACGGTAGGATATAAATTAGGAATTGCGGCCTTTTTGTTATCCGTCTGACTTATTTTTATGAATATTTTAAAAATTTTAGCAATGTCGTCGACAAGCTGTAAATCTGAAAAGTCAATCTTGATACCTTCCTCAGCTTCCTGCAGCAAAGCCTTAGTACTAAAATTGTTTTTTTCTTGATTTTTGTAAAATAATCCATTTGTATCTAATGCTTTATAAAAAGATCTTTCGACTTGCTCATTCCACACTTTATTTTTTTGTCTCATTTTTTCTCTAACTTCTTTATTAACTGAATACAATCTTTTAATTACAACAGGAATAGCTGTTTTTGGTAAACTAAGAATACCTTCCAATACTTCTGTTGCAGAATCTTCATAGATAGTTTTAAGAACTTCTTTTATTATTCCAGGGGACATTCCCAAATCTTTTATAGATAGTTCACCTTCTTGCAAATTAGAATAAACTAATTCTAAAGAAGTTATAAAAAAGTCCAATCTTTCAATAATAAGACTAGTTTCTGATCTATCATCTTCCACTCTAAAAATGCAATCCTCATACATATTTCTTTTAAGAAATACAAAATTGGCATCTTCTGATTCAAAAGTTGGACAAGAGACACATGTTGTATTTAAAACTTCCTTGGCAATTGCATCTTGATTCGGATTTTGTATCTCTCTACTTAAAATTCTATAAGATCCAATTTTTTTGCATTTATCTAATCTTTTACCGGATGTAAATATCTTGTCTTTAAAATTAATAAAATTTTTAAAAATATCGATTTGTGTTTCATCTTTTAGAATTGGAATAACAAGCAATAAAAGTTCTTTTTTTGTTATAAAATTTTGATTAAAGTAATTTAAGCATCTTAAAAATTCGTCAGATATATTTTTATCTTCCATAGTTTTTAAAATACCTTTTAGTACGGCAGAATCATCTTCTTCTTTAATTTTATCTGCAGGTATAAAATCTTTTTCAAAATCTTCAATTAAATCTGGATGTTCCCACAATAGTGTCGAAATTTCAGATCTTATAGAAGACACATTTGAATCAGATGAAAATTTTTGTAAAATATCAACAAAAGATTTATAAATATTCGGCTGATGGGAATACCTTTTTTTGACCCTTTGAATAAAATCATTAGCTTGTTTTTTTTTAGAACTCTCTTCTTCAACTTTCTGTGGATGACCTGAACCATAAAATCCAGGATACAACTTACCGGATGGTGGAAGGCGTATATTATTTGGATTTAAATGTGGTACAAATGTAGGTACCATACCATTCAGTAACCCGTTCATATGTGGAGGCTGTAAATGTGGTGGTGGCCCCATTTTAGGAATTAAAGGTCGCATATTTGCATTTGGTTTCATATTCGGATGCATCATCTTTGGATTAAACATCGGTCTTCTAAAATGCGGATGTTGTGCCATAGGAGGCCTGACATCATAATTTCTTTGTAAATTATCTGTGTGTCGTCCGTCAGAGTAAAACTTTAAATGACTAGGTAAATATTCATTAAAAATATCTATAAGATACGGTTTATCCTTAAAAAGTATCTTTACTCCTTTACAAACCTCATCTGCATCAATTTTACCAAATTTATAATCTCGCATAGTTTCTAAAAAATTATCATATGTTACCATATCCTCAGAATACTCATCCTTAATTCTATTTAAAAAAACCATAGCATCACAAACTTCTGCATCTTCTGGTACCGAAGGCTTCTGCTGTTGATAAGATTCTTTATTAAAAGACAATTCATGATCCGGTTGCCTGTTTGAGTGAGAAATTTGAGGTGCGAAATGCTGCTTTCCTGTACTAGAACTATCGCTATACTCATTATATTGATTTTTATCGTCTTCTTTGTACCTTTTAGATCCTTGTTCAGACCATTTATCATTTTCTTGATTACTACTATCCATATTTGACATGAGGGGTTATAATATAAAAAAAAGAAATATACATCATTTGTTTATTTGCTAAAAATGCGAAATTAATATTTAAACTTATAAAATTAAGTTATGATTAATTGCAATTTAATAGAATTAACTATTAATTTTTTTTGTTTGTAGTAAAAGATTAATAAAGCATTTACTCATGATTTAAACAAAAAATATAAAAAATTAAATTAGATTAAATTTCAAATAGGAAATATTAGGAATTGGTTTTTGGATTTTGTAAGCTTTTAACAAATCTTCAAAATTAAAATAATTAACTTTAATAAATTTATGAAATTAACTAATACATTGTAAGATTAATTCTTTGTACATATTGAAATTGTGTCGATATTTTACAGTAGTGTAAATTTAAAATTATAAAATTGCTTAAACTTTTTGGTTTTAATACCGTAAATAATTTAAAATAAAATTTATTTACTTGTAATTGTTTACTTAAAGATATTTTAAATTTATTTAATCTTTAAAAGTAAGAAATGTAGATAACTCATTTCTATTGGTATTAGATACCTTATTGTAATTTTCTTTATTTATGTATTATGGATTAAATATAAAATGTTAATTATTTAATTTTTCTATAAATTTAATTTGCTAAGGTTTATATATTTCATATCAAATAATTAACATTTTGCAAATGCAGTAGCAAAATTTTCACTTTTATTAAATTAAATTTTTGGGATAGTTGAACATTTTATACTCTAAAATTTATTTCTATATTTTAATAAAATTACAACATTTTCAATTTTATATTTCTATATGCGCATTAGAAGTAAAAGTTTAATTTTCACTAATTTTTTCGTACAAATATATTTGATAAAAAATAATTTTTATTGTATTTAAAATTGATCTTACTATATTAGAATGATAATATTTATACAATAGTATTATTATCAAATATAAAACGGCCAATTTCGAAAGTCTATCACTTTAATGTGGTACCATTACTGCATTCTTTAATAGCTTTCCTTCTTTTTATTAAACCTTAGTATATTTAAATTAAAAAAGAAATATAAATACTTTTATGCTATACTCACTTTCCAGAAATATTTTATAACCCGCTGCTTACAACAACATCTCATAACTTGGAATATTTATAATTTATTTTATTTGTTTGACATGTTTTCAATTGTTTCTAAAACTTTTAAATTAAACGACAAAGCATTTAACAATTTATCTAATTTTATACTTGCTATTGATGAGTCATAAACTTCAAATTTATATTTAATTGGGTCAATTTTTTCTTAAATAAAATGGCTTTATGTATAACACAATGTGGTACATGTTTACTGGTTATTTTGTTAACCTACATCATTTCGAAATGTTTATACAAATAATTTACTTACATTAGTTCTAAAAAACATATTACTAAATTATGCACGCATAAAAGTATAAATAAAAAATTTATTCATCTGGAATTCTAATCTCCCCAGAATTGATAGAAGCTGTAACTTCTCTAGGTGTTCTGCCTTCAACAGTACATCCAACCGAATAGCATGTTCCAAGAACTTCTTTAACAGTTCCTGCTAATTTTTTACTAAATGATTTAATTCTAATTTTCTTAGCTATTTCAATAACATCACTAAATTTTAAGTCTCCATCGTGTTTAATATTTTTAACCTTCTTTCTATCTCTTGGTGGTTCTCTCAATGCTTTGATAATTAAAGTAGATGTATTAGGTAAGACCTCCACTGTGGCTTTTCCTCCTGATACTGTAACACCGACCATAACTTTAAGGCTTTTATATTCTGCAGTGGCTGCTTTAATATCCTCACCTACTTTCTTTATTGGTATACCCCATGAACCCGCTCTCTGTGCCAAAACTGGACCGGGGAGTTCTCCTCCAATTACTTGTATTTTTAGATATTTAACATCTCCTGTATCTGCATTTTTATTCATTTTTTGGGGTAAAAAATTTACAATAAATTTAACAAATGTCAGTTTATAATACTAAATTTGGTTTATGAAATAATCGTTATTGTCTTATTGATAACAATTTATTATTAAAATCAAATTCTGTTTAAAATTCTTACAAGTATTTATATTTTGTAATGTGGTAAATTATTACTAATTGTTTTATAAAATGTTAATGTAAAGTTAATAATAAATAATGATACAGTTTTGTAATTTAAAACATGTTTCATCTTAAAATATTTATAACTTAAGTTTTTAGGGCAGAAATGATATTTTTTTTTATTTCGCACAGCTTTGCTTCACTTAAAGGCGAGCTCGTACCAGAAGGAAATAAAGACTTAAGACTTGCTGATACTGGAACAAATAAGCTAAGATGGGTAGCTAAAACAGATTTGGGGAGCAACAAAGATCTTTCAATTGTGGAATATGACAGGGACAAAAAATATCTAAAAGTTAATGGTAAAGAACTGTGCACTAAAATATTCAGCAAAGAAATACAATTTTGTGATAATAAATACGTTTATACGAAATGGGAGCCCTTAGCAGAAGATGGAAGGTTTAAATTTAAAACAGAAGATGGATATTGTTTAAGTGTAGGAAAGAAAATGGATTCATTTAATTCAGTTATTCTTAGCAAATGTAAAGCACAGAATATTTATCAAAGATTTAAATACGAAAAAAACGAAGATGAGAAGGGACGAATAGAAACTATTAAAAATGACTATGATGAAGGAAGTCCAGTAATATTGAATATGGCTTTAAAAGCATATGAGAAAGACACACCTGTTGAAGTAATTATTAAAGATAAAAAAGATGGATTTAAGCGTGTTAATACAACAATAGGAGAATTAAACACTTTGTTTGCTTTTAATCACAATGCTGAACCAATAAACCATGATATGCTTGTTGATACTACAAAATTGAACCAACAATCGGAAGAATACTAATAAAATATTATTTTAATAAAAATCAGGTTTCTAATTTTACTATTACATTATTAATTCATAATTAATTAATTTTAGTGTAGTCTTAAAAATATTAAATTTTTTAACTTAAAGCATAAATAAAATAGAGACATTTAATAAATAAATTAATTTTTACTAAAATCTATATAATTTAATTAAAATATCAAGTTTAACAAAACTTAAAAAAACACAATATTTAATTCAATCAAAAAGTATATTTTAATAAAATTTAAATTTTAGTTAGAATGCTTTTTAATTAATTTAAATAAACAAAATTGTAGTAAAATATATACTATTATGATGTTTTAGAAACTTTTAATCAATAAAATGTTTTGTATCAAATATATTTTTTTAAGTTGTATAGTAATGACTTATCTTATGTTATGTAAGGAATTTAGTTGCTTTACTGTTAACATTTATACTTAATTTTAATTTATAAATGCCTAAATAAATCTTTGGGAATTTCTATTAAAATTCCTTCAGTTATTTTGCTCTATTTTTTGTAATTCACAAAACGCTTCTTGGTTTTTGAAACTGTGTTTTATATAAAAAATATAAAATCAGCAAAAGATTTAACAGTTATGTTTTTTATTCTTTACACTGTAAGAATATTAGCTACCATGCATCGAATAAAGGTTCTATCTAAAGACAGAGATTTTGAAATGTCTGTTCATTCTACTGGTTCATATACAAATGATATAGTTCTTGTTCCTTCAACAAATGACTTTGTAAAGGAAAACACTTTTGTGTATGAAGAATCAAGAGGAGGATTGAGAACAATGAGTGGTAGATTTATAACTAAAGGAGTTATGACATCCGATTTGAAATATAGCATAAAACTTGAGAACTCAAAAAGTTCATCTGATGGCTGGAAGATTTCACCACGCACGGATTATAATACTATTTCTAATTCAGAAAGCTACTGCTTTAAGAAAGGAAAATTTAATAAATCTGGAAATTATTATGAGTTATTTATTGAATCTTGTAATATAACAGATCCAGAGCAGCAATTTTTAGTAATAGATCTTGAAAGAACATTAAATGGTGAGGATTGGGATATAAATCAGAAGGGAGAAGTTGATATACTTAATGAGCCTATGTATTTGGGTAAATAAAATTTAATAATAGTATATTTTTATTAATTTAAAAGTTTAATATATTTAAAATTTACAGACTTAAAAATAATATTCTTTAATTTCATTTTTTCCTTCATTTATTAGAACATTATTTATGTAAATTTAAATAACTTTTACGATGTAGTAAAATATTAAAAGTTTGATATTTCAAATCAAAATTACTAAAATACTTTAATGAGCACAAGAGTTAAGATTAACTAACACATATGTTTTATCAATTTATTAAATAAGTAAATATTAGATATCCTTAAATTTAAGGCTTATTAGTAACAAAATACGAGTATAGTAAGAATACATGACATTTACAACAATACTTATATATTTAAATTATTATGTATAAAATCAAATAAAATATTTTTAAGGTTTATATTTTATTCTAGTAACATAAAAATGTGTTTATGCCTACTCTAAAAAAGTAAAGTTTATTATATATTAAAAATATCACTTCTTTCATTTAGTTCTCAGTTATTATTATTCTCATAGCTGTTATTTGGTTCAAATTTTATCCCTTTAATATGAAAACTGAAGTAATTTTTAAAAAGCATTTATCTGATTTTAAAAAAGTTGACACATCAAAATACACACAAATTTATATTAATAAAGAAGTAGATGATAAGACTACAAAGCTTTCACTATCTAAATATTCAGGAGATATCCTTTATATTCTTAGTAATAAAGACTTAGAAGATGTTAATGATTATTTTAAACAAGAAACAATTGTAGAATCTCCAAACTTACCAGAAAAGAAAATTAATGTTAAGAAAAGCAAACAGGGCAACTTATTTAATTTTTTAAAGAAGAAATAAATTAATAGTAGCTTGTATAAGAATCATAAAAAATTTTGTTTTATAAGATGTATAAATAAGTACGGACCTGTATTTTTGTCTATATTATGTAAAGTTTTAGGTTTATAATAATTTCTTTAAATAACTAAATCTTAAGTTTGTATTTTTTTAGTTTTTAATTTAAATTCTTCTTTTTATGCTACTATTTTTGTATAATTGTTGAAAATAAAAATGGGTTTATTTTATTATAATTATTTCAATATTGACATGTCAACTAAATCACATGTTAAACATATATTGAAACTTAATGTTTCATTAATACATCCTACAATAAAAATTAAAAATAATTATTATACAACTTTGTTTATAAATACAAACAAATTTTTTTTTATAAATATTTTTTTAGCACAAAAGGGGTTGTCCTTGCGTATGGAGATCGTCTATCAATGATGTATATACGGAGATAGAACTAATGCTAGCTGAGACATTAAAGCTATTCTAAGTCTTATACCTTATATGGTATAAGCCACTTGTAAAGTGAATTATTTAGCCTATGCTATTTTTTTGTAATTTTTTACTCTTCTTTTATGGATTTGCATTTGAAAAAACTTGAAGAATTTATTTCTGAAAATAAAAAGTTATACAATTTAAATATAAAACTTAAAGAACAACTTAATCAAGCAAATAAAAAAGTTATTGAATTAGAAACAAATGTTGCAACTCTCGATAGTACGATTTATAGACTAAAGAAAGAGGTTCGTAATTTAGAACATGATTTAAAAAGTAAAGAGAAAGTAATTCAAAATAATATACTTTTTATGAAAAGTGAATATAAACGTAAGGACATTCTAAACAATAAGTTAATAGGATCCACTAAAGATACAAAAATTATTGAGTTGAAAAAAGAGGTAAATTTACTTTTTCATAGAAATAATTTACTTTGTGAATTTATAAAAAATCTTTTTGATAAAAAGGATCTGGACTTTTTACTATTTTATAAGCTATTAGAAATTTCTGATAAAAAAAATATAGAACTATTTTTAGAAGACTATAAGGATGATTTAACAAATTGATATAAAAAGAGTACAAAGATGTTATTAGTTTTTTCGAAGTAATATAAATCCTTTTTAACTAATTAAAATAAATAAAAATAAGAAAAGTTAGTATTGTTTTATTAAAATTATTTATACTGTATTAAATTAATGGAATTTTTCTAATTATTTCTAAACAAGTTTTGCAGAATTTATAAAATTTTTCTGTAAGAACAAAATTCTTATCTAATATAATTTCCCAATTATTTTTACAACATAAATGGCATTTAACATCTTCTATTTTCACATTTGTATACCGAAAATAATCAGTAATATTTCTATGAACCTTAAGAATGTTTTTTATTTTTATCTTGTAAAATTCTTTATTTATAAAAAAAATAATGTCTAGTTTCGACTCTTTAATAAGACTTTTAATAGGAGTTGTAAAATCAACAAAAACTGTTTGGGATGTACAAAACATATTTAAAATTTTATTACGCATCACATCATCAGAAATATCACAAATAATAAAATTTTTTATGTTAAAAAAATAAATATTTGATAACTTAGGATGTATAAGACATGCTAAACGATAAAAAGATAGTTCACTATTAACAGTAAATGTAAACAGTCTTTCTTTAGGTTTAGAAAATAAACATGAATAATAAATGGTTTCAACTAAATCATCATTTGTGACAGAAAATAAATCTGCATTCTCTAAAATTAAATCATTATATTTATTAATTTTATTATTTTTATAAATAGTGATTTTATCTAAAATTTGTTTGTCAATTTCGCAAATATTTTTTTTTGATGAAGGGTACATTTTTAAAGAAGTCAGATTATTAAAATAGCACTTTTATTTTAAAAACAAAATTTAAACAATTTTATTCAAATCAAAAAAAATATAAACTAGATTATAATATACAAAAAAAAATAATACTAAACATTAAAATTAAGTTTTTATTTAATTTTTTCTAGAAAATATTTGTCTTAATACTTCTTCCATGTTATCACACACAATTTGTTTATCTTCATCGTTTAAATCTTTACCAGATTCTATTAGTTGTATATATTTATCTAATTCTACATGAATTTTTTGTTTATTTTCTTCTTCTTCTTCATCATCACAAAGTAAATGTTTAAATATTTGTGCCGTTCTATTGGGATCACATCCATCGATAAACGATTTAAATTTTTTATTTTTAGTAATTTTACCTCTTTTGTAGTCTAAGAATTCATTGGATGGTTTACTAGACCAATACACCTTGTCTGGTACACCATATTCCTTAAAAATATTATTATCACATCCTTCTGTTTCTTTACAATTAAAAAAACCTACAAATTCGTTATGTATAATAATTTTATCTTTATCTGCTCCTGTCCGTTTTACTATTTCATTTTCAATATCATCTTTTTCACATTTGAATTTTGTACCATTGATTGTAGAAAACATGGGAAAAAGCAAATCACAAAATAAATCTTTTTAATTTATAATCATATTTAATTAATAAAAGTATATTTTACAAACTAATTAAAAATGAAATTATAAAATCTTTTGATAATCCACCACTAAGACTGGGATTTAAAATGTTGCCAGGAATCTCAATATCTCTATATTCCTGTATTAGTGGTTTAATAGATTTATCAACAACAAATACTTCTTCTAGCTCAATATTCTTTTTCTGTGCTACTGCTTTAGTTGATGCAGCTGCTATCTCATTTATTTTCTTTTTAATGAGAGAATCACTTTTGTATTCTAAAAGTTCATATACCAAATTTTCTATTTCTTCTAGATAATCATTATATTCAACAGGTGTGTCAAAATCTTCTTCTGTTTTTATAAATCTATCTAATTGTCTTCTAATTCTACATTCTTTTTCTACTTCTATATCTTCAAAAGTGGCAGACATGTAATTAACTTTACGAAGTTCTACACCACATTCAGGACATTTATTTATGCCATTAATGTAATGTCGTCGTAGACATGATTCGCACATTTTATGAAAACACGGACTAATAAAAAGAACCATTTCAGGATTCAAATAAGAATCTGTCTTACACACAGGACACGTAGATTCTAACATAAAAGGGTAGAAAAAATAATTTATTAATTTAATAGTCATCACCATAAATCTTGTCTGTTAAATATCCATCAGATAACCCATTTTTTCTTACTACTCCACACACATCATAAGTAGATATTGTATCTAATAATCTGCCATTTTCATCTATGTCAGCTAGAGTAATCTGAACACTAGATTTATCTGAACTAGCTATTGGTCTTTTAGTAAATGAGCATATTCTTCTTTCAAACATATTAAGGGTACAAAAAATATGCATAAAAGATAAAAAATTTATTTACAGTTAAAACATAAAAAGAAAATGTTTATATAATTTGTATAAATTATAAAAAAAGTTATTTTTTATTATAAAAAACAATGTTAATATTATGGCATAGCTATTGATGATTTAAAGCTATAATAATTTACAAATTGTTTTTAATTTTGTTAGTAAAAAAATGAATGATGGGACTAAAAGATGACAATAAATATATATCACAGTTAATTAGCAGTTGAAAATTATACTAGAATTTAGTACTCTGTTATTCAAATATGTGTTTCTTCTAACTTAAGATAAAAAGTATTTACAAAAATTAACATACCTAATTTTTTAATGATTTTTGCCTTTTAAAAAGAATTTTAGGTATCTTAAATTTTAGAAAATCAACTAGCACAATAATTTGCTTATTATTATCTGTTGTAAACAATTCACTGTCCTTAATTTGAGAAAGTATAACAATTAAGGTTCTTAGTTCATCATCATCTAAACTTTCAAGTTCGATATACGTCAATAAGTTGTAAATAATGTCATCAATGTTTTTTTCATAACCGTCCTTGATGTACAGAATTATTTTTTCGAGTAATGCAATTAGATTTTTAGAAATCACAGATTCTAATTGCTCTGGTTTAATTATAAATAACAGCTCTTCTAAATCTTTATTTGTTCCTTTAAGAACAAGCTCAATGGCCTTATTAAAGTTACTTGACTTAATGTACTTTTTAAGTAGAGAATGTTCTTCTGTACACTTTAAATACGAAATAGCGTCTTGTAAATCTTGCATGTATTCAGAATCTTTAAAATTAGACATTTCTGCGACGACTTGAACTCTCATTTCATCCATCGAAGCTTCAACAACAGGTAAAAGAGAATCACAAATAATCTCTTTTGTAAATTGCAATAACTTTTCTTCATCAACATGTTTATTACTAAATAAAGTAATTTTGTTACTTAACTCATCTACAAGTTTGTTTACTTTTTTTATTTCTTCTTTAACATTTTTATCTAAGAAATCTAACAAAGAGCTAGTTACAGCATTCATACATTTGTCAACCAGCTCTATTTGATTTTGTTTAGATACACGCTCGAATTCATCAAATCTTTTTTCTAACCTAGAAAAGTGATTTAAAATGCAAGATTCAAAATCCATATTACTATTTTTTGTATTAAATAAGACACCAAATGAAGGACTTGATTTTGTATCTTCATTATCAGCTTTTTCTGAGAGAGATGCGGATTTATTTAATAAACCATTTTTACTTTCATTAGAAGAAAAATGTGAACTGCTTATAAAAGGATTATTATAATTTTCAGTAGTAGATGGTTTTTTATTATCTAGCACAGTGTTAAGTTCTAAAGGCGATTTAGAAAGATTATTATAATCTTCATTATATTTACCTAACGCATCAGTAAAAAGATTACAATAATTATTATTACTAGTATTAATAAATCCATTTGTTTTATTCAGAATTGACTCAGATTGATTTTGTTTAAGAAAATGACTTTCAGTATTTCGCAATGGATCCGATACCCCGCCAATCACAGTATTCCGCTTATCAGACATTAAATCATTTTGTCCAAAAATAGAATTTAAACTTGAAGGCGAGTATTCATTTTTAGTAACTGGCCTCGAAAAAAAGTCCTTATTTTTACAAAAAGAGACCCCATCAAACAATGTGGAATTAACTGTAAGATTTTCCGCACTTTTTGATGAAAAATTAAACTTTCTCGAAATGCTTTCATTGACATCATTATTAACAAATATAGTATTCTTATTATCTGATGAATCTTCTAGAAATTCTTTTTCAAAGTTAGCATCATTTGACGTTTTAAAAGGATTATAAATCGCAGAATTAACGTCAGGCTTAGGACAAATATTACTTGTCACATCACCTAAAGAATTACTTGAAACATCTTTAGAATCAAAAGACAAGTCTCTTATGTATATAATATCCTGTAAATCTTTAGATTTGGGATCATTATCTTTCACTTCTGTAAATTTTCTACACAAAAAGCACAGAATAATATTATTTAGACCATTAGAATTGACAGAAAAATCTAAAATGTTAGTAGGACAAGAAATCTCTTTAACAATAACAAGTTCATTTCTTAAAACATCAACAAAATACATTTTATATCCAATTCTACAACAAATCATTTTAAAAACAGCACAAATTTTTACAATATGACTAGTACTTTCAATAATCAATTCGTTTTTTATTTCAAAGTTATTATTAACCAATGAAAGTACAACTCCTTCTTTGGTTTTGTTATAAATAACAATTTTATCGGAAACCTCATAAACACTATCTCCTTTTGTTCGAAATTTTTTACCTGCTGCATCAAAAAAACTTCTACCGTGGTTTATGTAAAGGCCTTTTGATAACCAAAAAAACGATACAGGAAATGTAGATGTAATATTCTGCACAATTTGTTTTGGTTTTAAATATCCATTATCTTCCGATACAAAATTTAAAAAATATTTGTCTTTTTTAAAAGATAAATAATAAATTTCATTGTTTTTTTCAATCATTTGTAAAACATTTCTTGAAATAATAGTCTTATTTTCATTTATAGAATACTTTTTAAATCCTGAATATGACAATTTGTTTTGGCTGTCCAAAGTAACAATCACACATTTGGGACTGCCTGAGGATTTCTTTTTAAAATTGTAGAAACACGCATCTTTAATTGTAAATGGAAGAAAAATATGAAAATTTTTGAACTTGTTGTCAAAAAATAATGTTCTTCCATCAAATGTAAAGAATATTTCCCCTTTGTAATGTAAAATTATCGGAGTCGATGGTGTTGTAATAGTGACCGGTTGAACTATAACACTCTGTATAATATTATAATTCCATATCAATTTATCTTTTATTTTGGACTTGTTGCTATTAAATAAATCAATAAAAATATTACTCGTATCTTTCTTTATCGATTCAGCTATTTCATTAACTTTTTTGTCCATAAAATGGGTTTAAAATTTCTTCTAACAATTATAAATAATTTAGATTGATCAAATTTTGACAGCTCGAATATTTGATTTTTGTCTGTTTATAAATGTATTTATGCATGACTTTTTTAAAATTTATTAAATCCTTTATTTATGCGTGAAGGAAAAAAAATATCTTTTTTAAAAGAAGTAAGAATGATGTTGTATGGATTTGGGGATGTGTCTTGTCCAAGAAATGATACTACTGAAGTATTACATAATTATGTAATAGAATATTTAACAATATTACTTGTAGATACACACAATATGGCTAAGCTTAAAGGGAAAACTAAAACTGAAGATTTGCTCTATTGCATTAAAAGAGATAGAAAGAAGTATTTAAGAGTAAAACATTTATTGATGACCAATGAAGAGCTTAAGAAAGCAAGAAAGGCATTTGAAATGAAGGAATATGAAAAAGAATAAATTTATTAAAAATAGTTATTATTTCACTACACTTGACTTTTTATAATATAATTTTTTAATCAAAAAACAAACAAATTTTTAATAAATAATTAATTTATTTCAATTCTTGACTTTTTAAGATTCTTTCATTTTTCAAAGCAATTTCTTCTTCTAAATCTTCATCAGTTCCAAATTCATAAATTTTTACACTAAAATCTTCTAAATGTTCCCTAAACATTTCTTCATTTTTTGACAACTCAAACAGGCCAGCTATAAAAACCTTTAAAGATTTCTCTGTTATGTTCGAAAAACTTTGTGAAAACAATGACAGCATGTGGTTAGAAAGAAGCATAACATTAGGTTCAGAATTATTTAAGCTTGATATATTGCTAGATATATTAATCATTAAAGCTAATAAAGAAGATTGCAATTTAAAATTATGCTTTGTATCTTTGTCGAAAATAATACCTAATAAATTCTCAAGTGTTAAAATGTAGTTCTGTGAGAAGAATTGTAATTGATTAGTTTCAAAACACTTTTTAAAAAATAAAATTAAAACTTTTAAACCTAAATCTGATATTTCTCTCATACATGTAATCGAATTTAAAACTGAATTATAAACAGGAACAAACAAATCACTGGCATATAAATTGGAAAAAAATGTATTAAAAGACGACTCAAGAAATTCTTCAATAAGTTCTAAATAATTTAAAGATATTTCAGGATTATTATCCGCCTTCATTACGTAAGGAATAGAAGGTTTAAGTAGAGCTGAATTAAAAAATAATTCAATCTGTACATATTGTATGTTTTTCTCTTTATTAATATTTTTAATTATACTTTTTCCCAAAGAAATAATTAAAGGATCTTTAAACTTGGGATTATTATTAAAATCATATATTACTTTTTCACAAAGTTGTGTAATAAATTGTTCTTTTGTAAATTTGGCATTAATAATCTCAATAAATAATTCATTAATATTTGAATTTATAGTTCTACTATTTGCTACAATATCTGGATCATTACTCATTAACATCATATTATTACTTAAGTCGTATAATTTAAAATACAAAGGGAACAAAGATTCGTAACTTGAATCACATGAAAACGGTAGAAATTTGTAAATCAAAGAGTGAGACTTCAAAACATGCGAAATCATTTTGACTGTTTCAACGGAGGAGACAACATTTACAAGGTTAGCTAAATATTCATCTGAAAATATATTTGTATCACAAATAGAACTTAATAATTTTTGTATATTTTTAAGAATTGTTTCTTTATTACTTTCTTCTCTAGGAATTTCCTTAATAATATTTAGAACACCTTCGTAAATAAATCTTTTTTGATAAAATTCTAACGATTTAGTAATATTTTTAAGATTCTGTAGAATGTAAGTAAGAAAAATCATATTATCTTCTCTTTGCAGTAAAACTTCTCTTGGACATCTTTCTGCAATTTTATAAAAATTGTCACAAGCCATATCTTTCACACCTTCGTGTGATTCGTCCATAAATTCAAATAACTTTTTTACGACTGTTTTTAAGAAACTTTTATTATGCAAAAGAAACCTGTGATATTGTCCTATAATAAACATAATATTAGATGCCACAACCGCTTTATCAAATCTAGAAGGTCTCATATCACACAGTACAAGTAAATATTTCAAAATAGAGACAAAAAAGTCTCTTTCTGAATTTTCTGTAAATACTCCTGATATACATCCTATAGCCCAACATAACTTATTAACTTTAGACCAATCCCATTTTTCTACTTCTAATTGTGCTCCCGTTTTCGTAATAAAATATCTTTTTAAATCATCTTCGATTAAAAAAGCCAAATGATACAAGCATGATTTCATTTTTTTATAAAAATCAATCTGATCTGTTTCTATTAATTTATTCTTAATAATTTCTCCGTATTCATTAACAATAATAAATACTTCTTCAGGCCTAGGCATTTTTTCTACTAAACAATTTAACAATTGCACTAAAACACCTTTATATTCAAATCTTCTTAAATTCCTTCTTGGTTCCCGATTATTAAATGGAAATTCGGTGTATAAGTCGAAAACAAATTTATTCCAAACTTCAAAAAGTACTAAAAATATTTTAGAATCATCAATCCTAGAAAATAAAATCATATGCTCCAAAGCAATTCTTGTAGTTTGTATATTTTTCGACTCTAAAAGTGGAGTGTAAAATTCAAAAATACTAGCAAAAAGTTGCGAAAATCTAAAAATAAAATTTTTTTCAGAAGTATCCATGTGTCTGTAAATTTCAAATACTTTTTCTTTTGTAAACTTTTTTAAATATAATTCTAAAAATTGAAAGGCATTCAAAAATATAATCCAAATTTTTTCTTCATTAGCTTTCATTAAATTCACATTATTAAATAATGACTTATCCCTTCCTAAATCTACTATTTCAATTAAGCACATTAAACTTTCTACACTGTGTGATGAATTAATATGTTCACAAACTAGTTCTACAATGTCCGTTAAAAAAATAAAATCAACAGGCATAGAATTTACAAATCCAGAAAATGTTGATAGAGTAGTTTGCAACAATGCATCATCTACAGAATTATTTTTAGAAAACTCTAAAATCATTTTTAAAAAATTGAAAATTGTTGGAAATTCTTGTTTCATCTGATTTCTCAAAATTCTTTTTTTGACAGTTGTGATTCCATCATTCAATTTTAAAAAAATATCTTCATTAAGTTTCTTTAAAATTTCAAGTGTATTTTTACAAACATCCATAGAAATTGAAGTAGATACGTTAATAAGATCAGAAATAAAATTGGGCCATCTTTTTGGCCAATCACGTTTAGCTATTTCAACAATAATTCGATTTAATTCATGTAAAACATAACTCTGACAATTTTCTTTAGTCTTCTCTACAACCATCTGAAAAATATAATCTCTTATTCCTTGCTTTATATTTTCTTCTAAAATATACCATTTAGTTTTAACTGTTTCTTCTAAAATTTGTAAAGCAACATAATGCGATTGTTGCTGTTTAGAATTTTTTAGTATAAAATCTACTTTTGTCCAAGACGTACTCTGATTTTTAAATTTTAATAGTATTTCTTCTGATTCAGTTTTTTTACTTGATAAAGGATCACTAGAGTTCAACACAATATCATCAAATACAGATATGCTAAATTCTTTTTCTGAATTTAAGAGATCTTGCATAAAATAAGGGGCACTTTTTACTTGTTAAAAATCTAAAAAATCAATTAACAGAAAGGGATGTATAAATTGTTAAAATAAAATATTATTACAAATAAATTAAAGATAATAATATTTTATAATTCAAATCTAATTGATTAATTTTTTTATTGGTTACATTTAGTATTTAATTTTTCTAATTCATAAATTTAATGAAGCCAATAGTTGTAGGAAATTGGAAAGCTAACAAAAACTTCGAAGTCTTTAATAAAATACCATCAAATCTAAATAATATTGAAGTTGCTATAGCACTCCCTCACATCTATATTCCGCAAACAGTTAATTATTCTAAACATCATATTTCGATTTCGGGACAAGATTGTAGTAAATTTGAAAGTGGCCCTTACACGGGAGAAACTCCTTCTTCTTTTCTGAAAGAAAATCATGCCAAATATGTAATCATAGGACATTCAGAGAGAAGAAGATACTTTTATGAAAATTCATCAGATTTCACAACCAAGATTAATAATGCACTTGCGGCAGGACTTGGAGTAATCTATTGCATTGGAGAAAATTCTTTAGAGCGTGAAAGTAATGAATATATGAAAGTATTGTATGATCAATTTTTTTCGGTAGTAGGACAAGGGATTAAAATCGATATCGCTTATGAGCCAGTATGGGCGATAGGATCAGGTATTATTCCGAAAAAAGAAGAAATTTCTGAGGTAATTGAACACATCCAAAGATGGTCTAGAAGTATTAATGTATCTGGTAGAATATTATATGGTGGTTCTGTATCTTATGATAACATTGAATTATTACACAGTATAAATAAACTTAAGGGATTTTTAATAGGTGGAATTTCTTTAAAAACAGAATTCGTTGATATCTGTGAGAAGTATAATAGTTTAAATGGCCAGTAAAGCTTTTATTAAAAAAATTAAATTTAAATATAATTTAGTCTTTTTTAATTTAATGTTGCATAAATTAAAATATTAAATCCAGTAAATTATTTGTTTTTAATTATATTGTTTTTGTTTATGTTAATACATGTTAAAAAATATCTTATCAAATTTGTTTGTTTTATATCTAAAATTTATCTAGCATATTAATTAAAAATGTTTTATATTTATTTTGTTTTAAGTATGAAACAAATTGTATAAATTGCATCGGATGCAAATAACAAATGACACTGAAAACCAATACCTCTCTTTCAATTTTTATTTCTGAAGTAAGAAATTTAACAAAAGAGTCTTTTATTAAAAAAGTTATAGCAGAAAGAAGAAAATTATACTTAGATAAAAATATTACTTATTCAAAGATCCTTTCTTTAGTATATTTTGTTATAAATGATATTGATGTAGATCCAATTATTTTTGTTAATGCTTGTGGTTCATCTGATTTTGATGTCAAAAAGGCGGGATATCTTGGTTTAACGTTGTGTAAAAATTCTAATCTTCTTATTTTGACAGTAAACACTGTAATGAATGATCTTAAATCACCCGTCTTTAGAGAATGTGCTTTAAACTTTCTATGCAATATCCAAGTAAAACAGAGAATTTATAACGATCTTTCCAATTTTATCTGTATATCAAGTACTGCCGATAAAAACATTTTAAAAGGTGTAATTGCCAAGAATCGACTATCAAATTTAAGTAAAATATCCATTGTTGGAAGTAGTGATACACTAGCCTACGTTAAGGTACAAATTTTATACGATAAATTGATTGATGGAGAACAAGTAGATTTAGCAGATAATGATATATTTTTTGTTATATCTATTTATAATACCGTTAAGTGCCCCTTTCTTAAAGTAAAGCTTGTTCAATTATATATTAAATTTTATGAAATGAAAAGATTAATTCCTAGAGATTCTTTGTTTTTAGATTTGCAGGCCGACATAATAAAACCCAAAGATATTGTTAAACCATCTGTTTTGATAGCATTATCAACTGTTATTAGTGAGTTTTTTATTATAATAGATAAAATTAATAGTAAGATAGAATTTTTTATTTGTCGATTAATAGATTCAAAAAATTGTAATTCGAGATTAATTGGGTTTAATTTAGCAAAAAAATACGGGTTATTTAGCAATAAACTTATTGATAGATCGATTAAACTTGGTATAAATGTAAAATATGCATTTTCAACAATAGTTAATTTATTAAATAAACAAAATTATAAAGAAATTTACCGAAGAAAAGAAGAAATGAGATTTGTTATGGATAAACATATGATTGATTTTAATGAATCAAACGAAATTATACTTAACTTGTTGTTAAATATATGTAGATATGCAGATGAAGATTTTCTAGTAAAAATCTTACTTATTCATCCTGATTTAGCTTTTAAAAAGGATATCAGCTTAAAGCTTTCAGAAAAATCAAAATGTGAATTATTCAACAAAATTTTGAGTAATCAAAATGTGGAATCAATATATTTATTTTATTTAATAATTCCCAATAATATAAAAGACAGAAAATTTTTAGAAGAGATTTTTACGACTCACTTAACACTATTGATAAACAAAAAATATCCTAAAAAAGAAATTGTACTCGACAAAATGATTTTTTCTATTTGCAAATATAAAAAATTGGATTTTTTTGCATTAAAATTGAAAGAAATGTATAAGGAATTGTTTAAAAAAAATCCTAAACTAGAAATTTTACAGATCATTTTAAATGGAATTTTTCTATTCAATGCGCGTGCAGATACAAAAATACATTATATTGATGAAGATTATTTTTTCCAGTACAAAAAAGTAAATCAGGATATTTTACATCTTGAAATGATTGAAAACTTTAATATTGTAAAAATTACAAATGAAATAAACGAAGATGTGCATTTTAAAAAAGAGGGCATGATTTATACTTGTGACGCAAAAAATTCACAAAAAATACAAATATTTATAAGAAATTTAAACAAAACTTATACAGCAAATATATATTTATAATCTAATAAAAGTTTATTTTACTTCTGTAAAAATTTTACCATTAATAAATTTAAAAATTTTAGGAAATTTTTTTACATGTCCATAATCATGACAAACAACTAACACTGTTTTATCAAAGAACCTTTCTCCCAAAATTAAATCAATAACATTATTTGACGATTTTTCGTCTAGATTATTAGTAGGCTCGTCAAAAATGTAAACTTGAGCCTTCGATAAAAGTGCTCTAACATAAAATATTTTTTGTCTTAAACCACCATTAATATTCAATCCACGTTCACCTAATATTGTGTTATATCCATCTTCTAATTTTAATATATCCTTATGAATGCCCATTTTTTTACATTCTTCAACAATAGAGGCAAATGGCTCATTGTTTCCGTAAGATAAATTAAAAACAACAGATTCATCAAAAAGAATCGTCTCTTGGGGTACATATGTAATAAGCTTTCTATATTTCGTTATTAAAATTTCATAAATATCTATGTCATCAATAGTGACAGAACCAGAATCAATATAACACAAACGAGTCAAAATTTTAGATATCGTACTCTTTCCAGAACCATTTTTACCAAAGATACAAGCCTTATCTCCCTTTTTTAGTACAAAATTAATATTTTTAAATATTTGTATGCCGTTAATAGAATATCCAACGTTTCTAAAAACAATTTCTTTTTTAAAGGTATCTTTTACAGAAGTTCCTTTTACTTCTTCATTAATGACTTCTAAATAATATAAAATAAGTTTACTAGTAACTAAAGCTTCTTTATACTTTCTAAATATTCCTGAAATATTTTCAATAGTTTTTTCTAAACTCAAAAATGAATCGTAAATATTTCTGTATTTAACAGGATTTGAAACATTCTGTAACTGTAAAATCAATATAGAAATAAATGCTGCCAGTAAAAAGATTATGTCATCCATAAAAGAAAGCAAAACCACTGTTTTATTATGCTTTAATGATGCAGCTTTCCATAGATTAAGCTTATTATTATAATCTTCTAAATGATAATCTTCTGTTTGAAATGATTTAATGATTTCATAATTTGTTATATCTTCATAAATCAGTTTGTCACAAATCCCTCTGGCACTGTTCATATCTTTTTTACATTTCATAGCTACCATAGCACCTTTAATGTGAATAAAAATAGCTAATATTACAATAAAAAAACAAAAATATAAATGAATTTTTGACGTATTTCTATAAATTAATAAAAAATCTGAAATAAAATATCCAACTTTTTGCAACAGCTCAAGAATGCAATGCTCAAACAGCTTAGACATGGCGAGAGACCCTTCACTAATTGCAAATTGTGTTTTTCCGCTAGATAAATCTATACTGTCTCCTGCCTCATATTTCAATATTTTTAGTAGAGCTCTTTTCGAAGTATTTGACTGAAACAATGTACTACAACACAGAATAATGTATTGTGAAGATGATGAAAAAATTGAATACAAAATATGGCAGATAAAAATAATTTGACAATCATTAGTTAAATTATTCGTCGAATTTAGATCATATATTAATTTTTTTAAAAAATAAGAAATTACATGTTTTGCTAAAATCGAAGATATTAAAACACAAAACATTAATTTAATATTTTTTACATCAGATAAATAGTATTTTAGACAAAGTTTGAGAATTCTAATTTCAGTAAAATTATTTTTTTTAGATGAGGATATCGACATAGCCTTGGGGGTAAAAAATTTAACATTTATCCAAATTTTGTTGTAAAATAAAATTTAATTTTTTATAATTGATAATCAATTTTAAATATTGTTAATAAATTTCGAAGTGATTGGTTTTTCTTATTTTCATCTGTTTCTTCTTTTAAAACTTTATAAATATCATTTAAGACATTTTTTGAAGATCTGTGCAAATATCCATCAAATAAAGAGAAATTTTTAATACAAATATCAACTAATTGACAGAGATCTGCATCCTGTACATTTTTTTCAAACATGACTTTATATCCTGGTCCAATATTTTTTATTAAAATCATTTCTACACATGGTTTTATAATACCTAGTACTATTCTCATCTTATTAGAATCTACCTTTTCTACAACTACTTCCATTGGTTCTATAGAGGTTTGACACATAAAAACTTCTAATTTTATGCTCATATAATCGTCATTTTCTACAAAAACACATTTAACATTTTGTGATTTGCATTTTAAAAATATGTTTCTATCAGCACTTAAAAGAACTGCATTATTTATACAAGAAGTTGTGTATACAATTTTATCATCGACTGTTCGTAATTTTTGCATATCACCAATTTCAGTAAGTATTTCCATACTATTTTTTTTAATCTGTCCTTCAATTGATAGTATGCTTTTTGATAAATTATTTTGTATAAACTTGTTTGCTTCTTGAGCTTTATAATTTATAGGTTTTAGTCTGTCGATCTCATCTACTACAATTTTTAAAATTAACACTTCTATATTAAACGGATGTGTATCATTTATAAATTTTGATAATAACGCTTGGTGTTCTAATAATATATTTGTATCTGGAATAATAACAATTTCCATCAAGGGTATAAAAATTAAATTTGCAAAATTATTTGTTTTATCAATGTAAAATTAACTTAAAATGCAAAAAAATATGTTAATAAATTTCATTAAAATTTTTTACTTTTCAAATAAAATTTTATAAAGAAAATAAATTACAAAATAAATATAATTATCTATTCATACAAAATATGCTTGTAATCCCAAATCTGAAATGAAATATCTGTTAATATATGACACTCATGAATATTAAGGATTTTTAAATCTCTATCAGAAATTTCACTATCATTTTTAACAATATACAATAAAAAAGTTCCTTTTTTGCAACATTGAGAATTCGAATCAATCATTAAAACCTGCAAAAACTCTGATCCATTGTAAAACCATGCAAAAAATCGATCTTTAATTAATTTAACAGTTAAATTAATAACCCTAACAAATTTTTTTGTTCCTGTTAGCTCTTTTTTATACAATCTCTTTACAAAAACATTCCCATGTTTTGAATGTATAAAATATTTATAATTTTCATCAATGTAATTTTTTATACAATCATACGAAAATTTGGAATTATCACATAAAGATTTTACATCCTTATTTGGCACAGTGGTAAAGTTAATAACCTGGTTGCGCAATGTGATATCTTCAACTTTAATTTTAGAACCTGCCCCTTGAAAAAAAACTGGTAATGGACAAGTAGTTATATTGTTTAATATATTAAAAGAAGCTACTGTTTTATCATTACAATCAATTTCTTGTTCTTGGCACAAAGGAAGAATTGTTGTTTGCTCGACTTGACAGCAATGTTTTGTGGAAGTAAACACTGTACCTGTAAAATCGACTTCATGATCAATCTGTTCCTCCGAATCGGGATCATTATTTGTATTAAACCTATCAAATAGATCGATATTGTCTTCACAATGACAAAATTCTGTAATTTTAGGTTTTTGCTGATAACATGTGCCTGTATTTACTTTTGCATTTGATAAAGATTTTTTTAGTGCTTTAAATTTAAGTTGATCATCATAGCATGATAATTTTTTGAATTCGAAAACAGATAAGCTAGAATCTAATAAATAAGATATACCATTAACTGCATTAACTCTTGAAATTAACTCTGCAATATCTCTGTGTCCGTGTTTAGGATAAATATAAGGATATCCTCCAAAGTTATTAAGATAATCTTGTACCATGTCTTCGGCATTTGAACAGTTTCCTACTATTCCGTTAAGTAAAATTTGTTTACAACTATCACTCAGTTTAGAATTTAATTCTAAAAAATTAACCTCCCCTTTAACAAACCTATTAACTAAATGCTTATCTTTAAATGTAAAAAAGGTTGTATCAACAAGATCAGTTTTTGAATATGGTATTCTAAAATATTTACCATTTTCCAAAATTAGAAAGTGTTCATCGATAGGAATAAAATCACAAAAACCAGAACTATCCGAGTTGTTAATCAAATTCAAAATCTTATCATTTGGTCGGTAAAATTTAGGATCTGTTTCAATAAGTATCTTAGAATCATGCTTATAAACTTTGATATTTTTAATAAATTTGTTACTTTTTAATTCTTTAAAATCTTTATAAGTTGTGCCATAAATTTCCTGTTTATCAAAAACCAATATGCTTTTATTTTTTATATTAGTTATATATAAACAATCTTCATTTGATGTTCCCTCAAATCCAATTTCAAAAAATGTATCTGTCATTTATGGATTATTTTTTTTATTTATATTTTTATTGCATAAATTGTTAACAAACAAATTTTTAATAAATATTTAAATTGTTAAATTATTAAACAAAATATTAGCTAATATTTTAATTTTGTAAAAAATAACCAATTACAAATATTTCTAAAACAAATATTTTTATGTTAATTTTTTTACTAACCCATGCTTATTCCATTTTTGAAAAGTTTGTTATTATTTTTTGGATCGATTGCAGCATTAATTGCAATTGGTGTAGGTATAATAAAATCTATTGAGTACATAGAAGATAAGGCATATAGTGCAAAGAAGAAGATTAAGAATATAATTTACATATGTATGTTTTTACATTTATATTTTTTAATAAGAGGTAAGTCAATTTTTCACACACTATTTAGTTTATCGATACAATATTCATTCTTATGTCTTATTGATGTTTATCCAATCATAAAATTAGATAATCCTTACTTCATTTACGGAACATTAGCTTCTTTAGTTAATCACTTTTTAGTTATAAAATTTCTATTTTATCGAAGATTATATACGCTTGAAATTCTTTCTGCTTTTGCGCTTATTTGGATTACACCCTTTTGCTTTTTTATTAGCCTTAGTGCAAATGACGAAGTTATAACTATCAAAGGCAAGACCACTACCAATACACTAATAGGAAATTTTTTGAAAAAATTATTTAATAGTAAAAATAAATAATTTGTGTTACGTTGTTTATATTCCTAAAAATTTACTAAAAATAGTTTTTTCGGTTGGTAAAATTTCACCGAAACATTCTTTTAGCCTAAGTGTAAAATCTTTTTTCTCGTCTTCGGTCAAATCTTTCCTTTTAGAGATTATCGTTTTTACAAATTTCCTTTTTATATCTGGAAAGACGTATTGCAATGATTTAACTTCTTCTACAAATAAATCTACACTTTTACAATCAATCAAAGGGATTATTTTTAACAGAGGAGATAATGCATTTAGTACATCGTTTTTTTCACCAAATTCATCAAGTATTGATTTAATTTTTAGATAATTATTTTTTAATCGTGATGCGCATTGGTCAAGTATTTTAGATTTTTTGCTACCAAGCTGTTTTAAATATGTAAGAGATAAAGAATTAGCAAGTTCGTGGATAAAAGTCATAAATGTATAATCACTCATTGTAATTTTATAATCCATTAGAAAATCTTTTACAGTAATTATTAATACTTTTACAATATCATCTTTGTACCATTTTTCTGTAAAAAGATCTTTAGTCACAGGATAGCAAGTCTCAATAACAAATTGAGATAAATACTTATTTGAGGCTCTGAGTATGTTAATAAAAGTAGTTCCCAATTCTCTGACTTCCGGTGATTGACATTGAGGCAAAGATGTAATATATTGAGTCAATTTAAGACCACTATTACCGAACATTATACAGAAATCTTCATATCCTGCTTTACTTTTCATTTGGACCGAAGGTAAAAAATCTTTTTCCATTACGTTTATTAGTTCATCTTTAAATATATTACAGTATTTAATAATGGTTTTAGTTATGTGTGCAAATATTTGCTTATTAAAGGAAATGGGTTCTAACTGCATTTTTATAATTTGTAATAAACTAACAAAGCCTGGTGAAATTAATTTATCTTCTTCGTCTTTTGAGATTTCTTCATTTCTCATATAAAACTTATTTACTTCAATTTTAGTAATATTTGAAATCCATTCTTTAAGTTTTTGCTCAGCAATTTTAGTATATTTATCAAGTAAGACTTCTTCATTTTCAAGCAATTTATCACCTAAAGAATCGGCAATTTTACCAAATGTAGATTCAACATTATTATAGTAATCGGTCACAAACTCTATTACTGCTAATATTTCCCCTGCATCAAGATAGTTAGATTTTTTGTCTAAGAGATGTTTTAAATTTATATGATATTCTTTCAAAAATTCATCAAATGAAAAAAAATCAAGATTAAATCTTTCTTTTATCAACTTTAAATCTTCTGTAACAAAATATAACTTTTTTACAAAAATTTGTTCTTCTTCTAATTTCTTAAATTTATTTTTTATGCTCGATTTTATGCTGTTTTTAATCCTTTCTGTAATATTCTTGCATGTTCTTTTTATATATTTTTTATAAAGTTTATACATTTCCTTTGAAATTGGTTCATCACTATGTTCTCCTTTTTTTGCTAAATTAGTAATTTGATCTCTTTTTTCTTCCTTTCTAATGATTTCACACACTTTAGGAAATATTTCATAGTTACTAATAAAATCTTCTCCCAATTCTAATAATTTACAATTGAAATCTAGTATTTGTTTTTTTATGTGACTTATAGCTTTTGATACTTCAATTGTATCTTCCCGAGATAGATCATGATTAAAATATTCTAAATCGTACATAAAATCTTCTAATTCAAAAATTTTGCTATGATAAGTATCTAAATCATCATTTACAATAGGATCATACAATGTACTCATCTTTTCACTAAAATATTTAACTTTTAGTAAATTTGAGTGTGTTACACAAATCATTTTAACTGTTGTATAATTTTTTATAAGAACTAAAAAGTCGTTTAGTATTTTTATATTTTTATCCTTATTTTTTAAGAACTCTTTATACATTGCTTCAATTTTTAATATGTCTTCTTCTATGTCCCTTAAAATAGTATGACAGGTAATAATTTTATTTGACAATAAATTTTGATTATAAAAAAACAAGTCTTTAACATTTGCTTGTATTGATTCTATTTTACTATTTAAATCACTAGGATATTTTATTTTTTCAGATAATTCTTCTAATGCTTGATTTTCCATAAGGGTCCTTCAATTAATCCTTTTTCAATGTTACAGGTATAAAGTTATTAAGCCTTTATGCATTAATAAAATACCCCTATTTAGGTCTACGAAAACCTACAATTTAAATATAAAAATTAATCTAAGCCATTTTTTTATTTACCTACATTCCGTAACTGTTAGTACATTAAACTAAATTTATGTTACTATACTTAATTTTCAGAATGAGTATAAAAGGATATAATAAAGGCTTTAATATTAACAATAACTTTATACGGAATATTTCAATAATCAATCAACAAAATTTAAATAAATAATACTTTTTAATGCTAATTATTAATAATAGAGCTTTAAGCTAATTTTTTATTCCTTAAATAAAAGAATTATTTCTTTTACATCACCTGTCAATAAATTATTATAACATAAATATTTATATAATAATTTAAAATAGCATAACTTTTTCCTACAGAATATTTTCTTTTATTTAAAAAGTACAATTTCTAGTTAATTCCTCTTGCTTTTTTCTTGTTCTAATTACCGTCTTATACATGTTTGGCATCTTATAATGAAAATGTACTACAGGTTTTATATCTAACAAATAATTTAAATAAGCAATGCTTTTAAACTTCTCTTTTTCCTCATTTGATAGCAAAGAATCTTCTGTTTTCTGATAAAAATTATTAGTAAAACTTGTTTTATTATGTTCTTCTATAAAACTTTGCTTCTTCTTATAAGTTTTTTTGTAGTTATGTTTAATAGTCTTTTTTATACTTTTAGTATCTTTTATTTCTATTCTATTATTATTAGGATTAAGTGTATTTTCATTAACTTTATATGCTGGAGAATTTATAATAATGCCTTCTTTTTTAAAATTATTATTTTTTAAGTTTAGTATTTTTTTGACTTTAGATTTTTCTTTTTCATTGCTTCTAAAATCAATAAAACATTGATGCTTAAACATGTAATCTGCATAAAGTAAATCTTTACATTTAAGACATTGTATTAACACATTTTTACTATTTATAATCACATTCTCAAGTTTATGTTTTTTAAATTTTACTTTTTGTATTGTTTTAATTTTCATTAATGGGGGATATATTAAAGATAAATATTGCTAGAAAGAAGAAAATAATATTTAAGAAAGGATAAGACTTATATCTTTAAGTATTAAATTCATTAGTATAATTTTTGATTTAATAATAAATTAGCAGCAATCAAATTCAAGTAAACATATAATAAAAATTTAAAATGGCCTAACAATTATGCACAGAAATGAATATTAATTTAATAAATAAAAAGAATTTTTTGTATTATTGACTCTTTAATACAATTTTTAGAGGGTTAATTAAAAATTTATAAAAGTCTAATTTATTTAATTTTAATATAAGTTAAGAAGCCTTAAATGTATATATCTTACTCTTGTTTTCTAAATATTTCAACCTTATTATTTTTAACCTTATATTTGACAACTCCATATCATGTTCCTGTCATATATCAAATCATTTAATTAGTGCAAAATTGTCTACCATTTTTACACATTTTTAATGAAAATATTTTAAAAAAACTTTAAATAAATACATTACACGCCGATGTATTTTAAACAAAGTTTAATATACAGAAACTATAACGTAAAGCCAAAAAAGTTAAATTAAAGATACAATTAACATAAAATTAATGAGAATTTATATTAATAGAAAATATTTATTAAAAAATTGAATGTTTCTAGTGCATTGCAAAATACATGGATGTCAGATAAACAATCTTTAATTATTTAATAATTAAATACAAAGAAAATATTGATATCACAATATATCTATGTTAATTAAACGACTAAATAAAGTATTAATATACTTTATAAAGTTTTATAAAAGATAAAAAGATATACCAATTTTTTGAATTAAATCTTTAAAACTATGAACTTGTAATATTTTTAAAAGCAATTATAAAGAAAATATAATTGTAATTTAATTTTGCAATTTTTGATTATCAAAATAGTGTTTAATTAATAACTTTTGATTTTGTGGTATTAAGGTATCTTAATTAAATTATAAAGTAATTATTTATTATTTATTTTTTGGTTCTTTTAAAATTTGTATAAATTAAAAATACTTATGGAAAATAACTTTCAAATAAATAAAAAGCTTTTGTATATAAAACATAATTTTATGTGTTTATAAGACAAATTTAAATGAAATATTAATTGGTAATTATCTAATTTTATTTAATCAGTTTAATATATGATTTACTGTATTAGTATGTAAATTTGACAAAAAGGTGATTATTTCTTAAAAAATTAAATTCTATGTGTAAGATTTTTTAATGATTTTATTAAAAGGTTATTTAAGAATACTAAAATATAAAAGAAATAGTAAAAAAATGTGTTGTTATAATACAACTCTAAATTTAATTTACATAAAGATTATATTAAATGTTTAACTACTAGAGTCATTCTTTTAAGTACATTTTTTTATTTAAAAGATTAAAAATTATTCCATGACATTTGTTTTTTTAAATTTAAAACTTTTCATTCTAGGCCCCTTAAATGTCTTTATCACAAAAGATACTAGAATTATTGAAAAATACAGAAACTATTAAATCTACGGATATTGATGTTAGGTCTAATGAGTTATATCCTGTTCTATTAAGTCTAGCAAGTAAAGAGATCATTAGTTTTACATTTAAAGAACAAATTATTTATAAACTTACAGAAGAAGGAGAATCTATCCTTAAAAATGGAAGCTACGAATTCAATCTTTACAACTCAATTGGTGATAATGGAATGGAATTATTAGAAGTGGATAAATATAATTTAGGAAAAGTTAATGCATTTAAAAATAAATGGATTAAGAAAGTGGGAGATAAGGTTTACAAAAGCGCAGATAATGTAGAAGATAATGTAAAAAATATGCTAAATAATGTTACTAATAAAATTTATCAGAAGGAAGAAATTAGTCTTTTGAAAAAAAGAAAATTAATTTATCAGGCTAAAGAGGTAGTATATTTTATAAAAAAAGGACCTTTGTATGGAAAAGATTCTGATAATATAACAGAACTAATTTCTAAAATGGTAATTAGTGGTGAATATAAACATTTAAATTTTAAGCCTTACAATTTTAATACTAAAGGAAATATTCAGTCACAAGGTGCATTGCATCCACTTATGAAGGTCAGAGAAGAAATTCGTAAAATATTTTTAGAAATGGGGTTTAATGAAATGACTACAAATAAATTTGTAGAATCTTCATTTTGGAATTTTGACACATTATTTCAACCGCAGAATCATCCTTCGAGAGATGCACATGATACGTTTTTTATGAAAACCCCTTCTACTACATCATACATTCCAATTGATTACATGCAAATGATAAAAAAAATTCATTCTGTCGGAGATTTTGACTCGGATGGTCATTTTTCAGACTGGGACATAAAAGAGGCGGAAAAAAATATTTTAAGGTCTCACACAACGGCATGTAGTACAAGGACAATGCTTGAAATTGCAAAGGGAGAATTTATATCTGCAAAATTATTTTCCATCGATCGTGTTTTTAGAAATGAAGCACTTGACGCTACGCATTTGGCTGAATTTAATCAAGTCGAGGGACTAATAGTAGCGAAAGGCTTAACTTTAGGAAATTTGATGGGATATTTAAAAAGATTTTTTGAGAAATTAGGAATTACGGATATTAAGTTTAAACCTGCTTACAATCCTTATACGGAGCCAAGTATGGAAGTTTTTGGATATCACAAAGGATTAAAGAAATGGATTGAAGTAGGAAATTCCGGGATGTTTAGACCTGAAGTTTTAAGGCCTATGGGGTTTGACAAGGATGTTAGAGCAATAGGATTTGGATTGTCACTTGAAAGGCCTACAATGATTAAATATGGTATATCAAACATTAGAGATCTTATTGGTCCAAAAGTAGATATTGAGTTTATTAAAAAAAGTGAAATGTGCTTTTTTAATTAAATACATATTTATTATTTCTTTTAATGTAATGTATTTGTACTTTCTAACGACAAAAAAATATTTTCATTTTAAAAATACCTATTATCTATCAAAAAAAGACTTTTCTGTTTTTTCAAGATGCAATGGCCGAGTGGTCTAAGGCGTTGGAATTAGGATCCATTCCGAAAGGGCGCGGGTTCGAATCCCGTTTGCATCACTTTTGCCAAAATTTTTAAGTTGATTTTTGATTAATTATAAACAAAAAAAATATAATTGCATTTAATTATCCTCCCCTCAATGCTATTACCATATGCACTACACTCCTATTCTGTAAATTCTGATTTTTTAATAAATCTGCATTGTTGTCCAATAGTCTTCCATTATAAACAAGTTTTTGTTGCTCAACGGCAATACCCTCCTTGAGTTCAATACTTCTCTTTAAATCCAAGACAGTAGCACCACTATCAATCTCAATATCAAGATCCTTTCCTAGTAATGTTTTTATTTTTATGTTCATAAAAAGGGGAGTAAATAATTAATCATCTCGCCTAGATTTCCAAAGCAAAAATTGTTCTTGTGCTATTCTTACATAAAAAGATTCATCTTTTAGTGTTTGAATGACATCCTCCTTATTAAGTATGTCAAGAATGTTCAGACAATAAGGATATGTTAAATATATTTTGTATTTATCTTCTTTCCAATATTGAAGATGTTTAATTAAGTCTTTAAAAGATTTATTTTCAAAATATCCTTGTTCGAATAACCATTTCAAATAATCGGGATTACAAAGCAGTTGTACGAATTCAAGTTCTTTAATAAAAGTGTTATCGGACATAGGGGTAGAATTTTTAATATTTAAATATTAGTAAAAAATGCTTTTTTAATTTAAGATACATTTACAAAATTTTTAAAATTTTCTGTTTATTACTGTCAAAAAAGTTTATTCAGTGTAAAAGAATCTTTTAAGTGACCCAAAATTCATTAAATCGATATATCTGCGTTCTTGTACATTTAAATAGTCTCCTTTTCTTTTGGCCTGTTTTTTTAAATTAAGTTTATTGTAAATTTCTACTATTTTTTCAGTTACAAAATCTCTGTTGTCATTGAATATAGGAACTGCACATAAAAACTTCCAAGAAAAATCTAAATCTTTTTCTAATATTTTTTTCAGTAAGTTTTTGGAATGTAGTTCTGCTAGATTTTTTTCAATAAAAATTTTATAAAAATATTTTGATATCTCTTTATTGCCTTTACTAAGGAAAAAAGATATTTCTGCCTCCTTATGTTGATTTATCAATGAATAAATATTATCTTGAGATTTTTCACAGATCATTACAAATGAGTCTTTGTCTTTAGAAAGAAAATAAGATACTTCATTAAACTTAAATTGTAATTCATTACAAGATAATAATGAGTGTAGGATAGTAGAAGTAGTCTTAAAATCTATTTTGATGGGCATACTGAATGATTTACTAGTATCTTTTGAAGATTTTACAAATTTTAGTAAAGTAGGTGTTTTTATGTTTACACTACTTTTTATGTAAATTATCTCTTCCACATTTATTTTTTTATTCTCTTTATTTCTTACTGTTATTCCACTAAACTTACATTCACTGTATCCAAAAAAATATGCAATATGCTTGTATAGTAAAAATTTAAGATCATCCAAAGAATTAAAACTATCTTCACAAAATAATGAAGATACAGTTGATTTAGATACTAATATTTCATAAACTTCTGTTGTCTCAAACTTGTTAAGTCTTAAAAAAATACTTTCTAAATCTATAAGCTTTTTAACTCTTTTAACTTTATTTACTAACATTTCTTCTCTTTGAAAAGTAAGTTTATCACTCGGCAGTGCAAAAAGATTAAAAAATAATTGTAAGTCATCACAGAGCTGTCTTTGAGGAAGTTTAAGAACTAGAATCATAGGGTAAATATTTAATTGTTAACATTTAATTTGGGTAAGATATTCATTGACATTAACTCTTGAAAAAGAAGTTTACAAGCATAAGGAAGTCGAATAGGCAAAGGGTTCGTATCGTTACACACATTACATCCATTTTTCGGGACTAAAATACCACAATTCTTACAACAGAATGTTTCAAATAAGTCAGAAGATTCCATAAGCCTTTCTACAATTAAAGATGATGCGCCATAACCAATTAAACAATCTCTTTCCATTTCTCCCAATCTTAATCCTCCGTCTCTACTTCTACCTTCAGTGGGCTGACGAGTTAAAATTGCTCTAGGGCCTCTTGCCCTCATATGAATTTTATCAGCTACCATGTGTTTAAGTCTTTGATAAAACACAGGTCCATAAAAAATATAAGCATAAATAGGTTCACCAGATATTCCACTATAGAAACAATCCTTTCCTCCAAAATTAAATCCATTGTTTGACAATATATCACACACAAGATCCACTTCATTTTTCTTAAAAATTGTAGCATCAGAAATCTTACCTTCTATAATCCCAGCCTTCCCAGTAAGTAGTTCAATTATTTTGCCGACTGTCATTCTAGAAGGAAACCCATGTGGGTTCATAATAATATCAGGTACTAGCCCGGAATCAGTAAAAGGCATATTTATCTGCGGTACAATTAACCCAACTACTCCTTTTTGACCATGTCTACTACTAAATTTATCTCCTATTTCTGGGACTCTTGTTTGTCTTAAACAAATTTTAATAAGAGTTTGATCTTCAGATTTAGTTATTAATACTCTATCAATGAAAGCAGGATTGCCTTTATGTACCCCACCAGTAAATTTATAGCCATTTTCACACGGCGAATTTTTATTTATGTAAACCGTACCTTCTAACAGCAGTTCTCCAGGTTTACCAATGCCATCCTTATCTAGAATTGGATTTTTTATATCCGGTAAAATAACATCAGATCGATTGTCTGAATATTTTTTTAAAACATAGCAGTGTGTTTTGTACACCTCAGTACGCGCAAATCCCCGGTCAAGGGAATCTTTATTTATAATTAGGGCGTCTTCTATATCATATCCCGAGTAACTCATAACGGCTACCATAGCATTTTGACCAGCTGGTATTTCATTATAATCTGTAATATTTAATATTTGTGTCGTCGTTAATGGTTTCTGTGTATTACAAAGCTGTAAAGATATGCCATCAAACCTTTTTTTACTATTTAATGCAATATAACCTATTGCTTGCTTACCCATTGCGCACTGGTATGTATTTCTGGGACTTTGATTGTGATTTGGAAATGGAATTAATCCTGCAACATATCCTAATATAGCAAAATCTGCAATCTCTAAATGGGTAGTTTTATCAGAAATATCTTCTATTTTTAATGCAATAAGTGCATCATTTTCTTCATTGGCGTCTAAATACTCAATACGTCCATCTTCTACAAGATCATCAAAAGATTTATATTTCATTTCTAGGTCACTTATAACAAATAGGCCTTTTTTTAAATTCTGACGAACCTCATCAGTAATAATGATAAGAGGTCTGCACAATCTACCATTATCTGCTGCAATATTAACGCTTTTAAGATTTTCATCAATATAAATTGATACATACTTATTAATAACTCCTTTTCTTCTATAATTTCTAAAATTTTTAACCAAACCAAAACAATTTTGCGTTACACCGAATATATCACCATTCAAAAAAACTAAATACATTTCATCACTAACCATTTCACGTGTATACAATACACCTGTTTGTATAACACCTAAAGAACTTAATATATATATTATAGTATCAAGATCACTGTCTGTAGTGACTTCAGCCAAAAGAGATAAATTTTTAACTAAACCACATGATTCTCCTTCGGGGGTATCAGCCGGGCAAAACATTCCCCACGAGGATGTATGCAACGCCCTGGGTCCGCTAACTTTACGAGTCTTTTCAAAGTGAGAATTAACTTTTGTCATCATTCCCACAGCACTTATATATGAATGTCTTATTAAAACATGTGTCACACCACTTCTATCCATTCTAAATCTTCTGAGATTCCAATTACCTGAAGATATAGCTCTTTGCATACTTGTTGTAATAATATTGGTTTGTAAATTAAAGAATGTTAATGCATCAAATTCTTGCGCCCTCAATCGTTTAGTCAATATTTTATCAATCGAACGTTTTAGTTCCCAATTAAACTTTTTAAATGAATCTTCAAATAAGATCGAAAGCAGTTGACCTGCCAGTTCAAATCGTTTATTACCAATAAAATCTTTATCCTCTTCTGTGATGATATTTTTTTGTGTAAAAATTAACCTTCTAACCATTAAACAGATCATAATTCCCTTATTTCTTAAATCCACACCGTCAAATTTAACATTAGGTAAAATTTTCTCTACAATTACATTTCTGACTTCTTCTAATTTATTAGCGTCAGGTTTCATTTTTATAAAACCCGCAAGATACAAAGCTGCTTCTTTAGAAGTATGTATTTTATGCTTATAAATTTCTTCAAAACTTAAAACAATTTGATCTGCAAACTCTTTACCAATGCATTCCACAATTTCTTTATCAGAAATCATATTGCATGCCTTAATTATTGCTACTACAGGAATATCTTCAGAAAAAGAAGAATTTACCAAATAATAACAATCATTTTTGTAAATGACAGAAGTTTTGCTTTTTTGTTCATGTGTAGAACTTGTCATAGATGAAAAAAACCCTTTTGGACCATCCTCAATTATTATTCTATTTTTAGATAATTGCTCCTGAATTAAAATAACCTTTTCAATTCCTTTTATTATAAAATATCCACCGATATCATAAGGACATTCCTGTGAAAAAAATAAATTAGCATTAAGCGACTCCTCGCTTAGCTTTTGTTCGTTATTTTTACTTTTTAGTAAACATTTATCACTTTGTAACATAATAGGAATTCTTCCAATAAATACGTCCTTTTTTCTAATAATTTGTTTGTTTCTTACGTATTCTATATCTACATATAAATTACTTGCATAAGTAAGGTCTCTAAGTCTACACTCCATTGGATACAAAGTATGCTTTATCATATTTTCTTCCAAGCTTGGTACACTTATCCTTACGTCAGTATATTTTAAGTAAAATGTATGATCAATATCTGAATCTACAATATCATTAGCTTTTACTATACTTGCAATTTCATGGTTAATAAAATAATTGAATGATTCAATGTGCTGTCTAGCTAGTCCTTTTTCAAAAAAAAATTTTTTTATAAGTTCCTCACTTTTTTTGCTATGCATGCACGGTAAAAAAAATTATTATTTAAAGATTTTTGCATAAAATGAAGTATTAGTAAAATCCGGATTAGCATAAATTTATAAATATTTACCATATTATAAATTGCATATAATTTGTTTTTAATATATTTTTATTTATATACAAATGCTTTATCTGTAATAGAATGAAGGCCATATAAACAAATTTTTATTTAATTAATAAGTACGATATCTTTGTATATAATTCCTAATTTTAAGTTAAAAACGAACTCAAAATAAAAATTGCGACAGTTATAGCTACAATGTTACCAATTCTGCATTTGTATATAATAGTGTAGCAAAAATCCGCCAGTTTTATTTGTTTGAAGTTACATTAACGTTATTTCATAAAGTAATAAAGCAATATTAAATAGTATTTAACTTTGTGGTATTAATTACCACATTTGAGATTAAATAAATTTGAAAATATTTTTATTTATATTTAAAATATTAATTCTAATAAATTATTTCATGAAGTGACCAAACATAAATATGAGACTAGAGGCATGAGAACACAAGTACCAGAATTACTTGCAAGGGAATATACAAATTAATAAAATTTTTTACTCTAATAATGTTGTACTGTGTAGAGAATGATGCATAATTGAAGTGTTCTTATTCTCGGGTTGCCTACTTGTGAATGATACTAGAAACTTCTTAAAAAAATTATATTGTTCAGTAAAATACAAAATATAACTTTTTCTGCTTCACTATTCAATTTCAATTTGACTTGTTTAATTTTTTACGATTTTCTTACTATAAATTAAAATTTTAAGATTTCATTTCTAAATAAAAGAATGTATTTGTTTCAAAAAAAATTAATCTTAAAAATATATTTAACAATCTGAAATATTTTTTTTACCTTAATTAAATGCCTCAAAAATATTAATATTAGAAAATAATTATTTAACAATGTCTTATTAAGCATTAAATATGCTTTGTTTTTTGATATAATGATCTCCGCTTATTAATTTAATATATTTAACCATTTTTATGAAGTTTTGTAAATAAGCACTTTTTTCTTATTTTAAGGCCAGTAACTATGTATTTGTCGTAACCTTTAGTTAAGTGGCCGAAAAAAAGTATTGTTCTAGTACAGAATAAATGTATGTCTTATTATAATTGATTTTGTTAGTAAAACAAGGTTCCTTCTTTGTGGTACCTCTATTTTGTTGTTTTCTTAAATTCATTAGCCTTCCATAATATAATTTTTTTTGTAAAAAATTAAATTTTTGTTATTTTTTAAAAACTTATAAAAGTGGAATTGTGTGGAGAATACCACAGTATTTTAGTTTATTCTTTTATAAAAACGTTTTTAAATTGCACATCTTTTCCAATCAAATACAATCTTTACAATTATTCAATAAAGAAATAAAAAAATAACTATTAATTAAATTAAATATTGTATTTATAACTTTTTCTTATGACATTAAAAATTTTCCTGAAAAAATATGCATACTACATATTGTAAGACATATTTAAGTTAAATGGTATTTATTTATAGAAAAAAGGCACTGACACGCCATAAAACATATAATTATAATTTTGTAATCAATATATATAAAAGGTTTGAATAGTTATATTTTAATCTTTTTTTTTTGAAAAATTTTGTTTTTGGCTTTTTTATACAAAATATTATGATTATTATAAATTTATTATTAAATGGATAAATGGTTAGTTACATAAATTCTTTTCAAGTTGCCTTAGTAATTTTTATTGTAAAAAATGCCAAAGCAGAATGTTGATTTACAGTAAAAGAGAGAAATTTTCAAAATTTATTAAAAAAAGATTTGCTTGAAAGCTGTAACATAACATTTAAAATACAAGAAAATATTCATGTGCTTTTTTTTGCCCTGTTTAAAACATGATGATAGTAAAGCCGGTCTTATTAATAAATGCCGCGTTCCAGAAGTGCGACCGAGAGCAATATATCCGATGTACTAAAAAAGGGCTTTTAAAATTTTTATTTTTGCCCTTAAAAATAACGATTAAATTGTAGAGAAAATAAAAATAAAATTAAATTGTAAAGAAAATAAAAATAAGATTAAATTGTAGAGAAAAAAAAAATTAAAATTTATCTTTAATTTAATATTATTTTAAGACAGCTAATTAATAGATGGTCATCATAATTTTTGATTAACATTTATTTTACTAAATAAGTATTGATTCAACTCCTTGTTCTACATCTATATGGTACAATGCTTTTTAATACAGACCAAGTAGCCTTAATAGCGTTTGTATGTATCCAGTTTCAGGATCTTAAAAAATCTGCTATGATTTACAGTTTGATGACAAAAATCTTGTTCATTTAAACTATTATACCTTTTCTAGCAATCACTAAAAATAGTTGAATCAGGCTTAACATAATTTTTAATTGGAATGTAGACTTGGTTCTGTCATCAACCTAAAATAATATAATTTTTTTTGTTCTGTCTTTCAACCAACCCAAAAATCCAAACACCATCTACAGGATGACCCTTGTTATATTTTGTTTTGCTGAATTTAAATTCGTTTATTTCAATAATTTCACCCTTACCGCTAACATAATTATTATTTTTATAAAAATTTTCAATTAATATCAAGAAACTTCTTTTGATAGTTCCATGTACGCATTTTTTATTAACTCTTACGATATAAGCAATAGAAATTGAAGGAATTTTGATAAGCCATAATTTCAATATTCTTAGAAACTTAAATTTAGAAATTTTTAAATCTTCAAAGATATTTTTCTTCTAGATAGAACATGTTTATTATAAGCGGGACAGAATTTATTTTTATAACAAAAAAATTCAAAATTTTTCCTTTTAAATAGTTTGGGAAGTTTTAACACGAGTTGCTCCAAAAAGATGAGTCTACAAAATTTTTATTTTTTACCGTTAAAAATAAAATTTCAAATGTTTAGAAAGAAAGAACTTAAAAACTTGATTCTAGATGAATTTTTTATAGTTTATGGAAATGTCTTTATTTACTATAAAGAAGCATTTAAATATGTTATAAGAAACAACTATGAGTTTTTAAGATGTAATAATAAATTTTGCAAACTTTATAGAAAACAAATTGGTTTATGGAAGCATTCTATTTTTTTGAGTACTAAAATATAAAAATGTAAAGTTTTGAGAATAATAGAGCTGTGGCTTATTAAAACACTTCTTCGTGTGATAGCATATATTTTAAGGATAAATAAAGCATAGTTTATCAAATTTTTAAAAAACTATCAAAAATATTAGTTGATAAATTTTATATAAATAAAAATTATATTAGAAATCCTTATGAAATTATAGAAATGGATGAATCAAAAATAGGAAAAAGAAAATACAATAAAGGACATCCAGTTGACAATGTCTGGATATTTGGTTTAGTTAAAAAGGAGAGAATAAAAAAGTTTTATTATTTCAAGTAGATGATAGGACCAAGTCTACATTTCAATTAAAATTTCGGTAAAAAAGGTACAACAATTTACAGTGATTGTTAAAAATGCTATAATAGCTTAAATGAATGCGGATATGTGCACAAAACTGTTAATCACAGCAAATGGTTTAAAGACCCGGCCACAAAAGTCTATACAAATACTATTGAAGGAACATGGTCCGGTTTAAAATCTTATATACCTTCTAAATGTAGAACTAAAAAGCTTATTAATCCATATCTAGTGAGATACATTCTAATAAACAATTATAAAGATCATCCATTAATAACTTGCCTGAAACTTTTATCAAATCAGCTTCAATAAAAGTTATTTATTTACACATTTTTACTAAAATTTAATCGTTTATAGCAGTAAAATAAAAATCAAGCTTTTAAGTTCTTTCTTTCTAAACCGTTGAAGTTCATTTTAAAGGGTAAAAAATAAAAATTTTGTCGACCTCACTTTTTAATGCAACTCGTGTTCTTAAACCTGGTTTGCCTTTATCTATACACACTTCCATTTACTATCTTTAATTTATTCAGAATTAATTTTTTAATTTCTTTCTTTTAAACATTTTGAATTTAATTTTTAAAAGCTTAAAAAAAATTTCAGGATCCTTTTTTTAGTGCATCTATGTCTTTTTAACCACGTGATCTTATTTTAAAAATTTATAAACAGTAATATTTGGTTTTTTAATTTTTCCATTTTGCTATTGTAAGGCGTCTAACTTTGTTTGTAATTATTATAGTATGCAAATTACACATTTTTTAATAAAAATAAATTTATTTTTTGATTTAAAAGTATAATTAAATAGATTAATTAAATTTTTAATAAACTTAAATATATACAGTGCGCGTCAAAATCTTAAAACACCTAAAAAAAAATTTTTTTTGTGCAAAATCAAACAAAATACAATTCTAAAATCATAATTCGTGTTTAAACATTGTAATTAAAATAATTTAAAAAATACCTTTTATTTAATCTTATTTTATATATGTCTAATCTGGTTTTTGGATT